AGTTTATGGCAAGCACGTGTTGGGCTGTTATGCCTGCCGAAAGGGGGGCTGGTCCCTTCACTGGGAATGAATACGTGGGTGGGTTTAGTTATGACCTATCTCAAATCTCCCTTAGAATAATATGTGTTGTAAATTAGTAGGTAAATGACACTTTCCTTCCTTTATTTTATGTAATGGCGGCTCTTTTCTAATGTTACAGGATGTCTGCCGATGGCAGCACAAATGCTGTTGGAAGCCAGCGGCAGATCCGAAAGCCCCTGCGTGCTTCTTCCCTAGGAACTGGGGTTATGAAGTCAGCAATGTCCGTACAAATACAAGCACAGGTAAGCCCTGCCCAGATACTGTCCCAGGAAGTCACTGTGCTTCAGCCAAGATAGCTGCTAAATGGAAGCTGATACTGTCTCTTGTTCTCATTCTTTTGCCTTAGGGTTGACTGCTCAGTTGAAAATATTGCCATCTCCCTCTCTTTTTGGAAATGATATTGCTGATGCCCTCTTCACAGCTGAATACCAGACATCCAATCGTTTCCATTTTAAGGTTAGTGAAGAAGTTACCACTGGATACAATCCTGGAGGTAGCGGTGCCTTACTCTCTTCTCTGCCATAAGCAGGGGTGCATGGGCAGAGGCCTCCTTTCTGCAGGCCTCTGGAGGAGATGGGCAGGCATCTTTACTTTCCTTGACAGGGCACACTGACTGGATGATTTCACTTCAGAAATCAAAATCTACAGGGCCAAGATTTGGAAGCATTCTCGTGGGCCACTGCTTAAAAGCATTTTTCATAGATCTACAAGGAAGTGGTCTTACCCAAATCATATTTTCTATTTTTCTTCTCCCAGATCACGGATTTCAATGAGATGCGCTATGAGGTACCTCATGAGAATGCCAACCTCTTGAATGGGACTGCTGAGAAGTCCCTTTTGAACTACTACGTAGAGGTCATCAATAAGCCCTTCAGCATCCGAATAGTGCGGAAGAGCAACAAAAGAGTCTTGTGAGCTTCTCCACACTCTTTGTCGTCTTTGAGTACCCATGTAGCTTACTCTGATGTACACAGCAAGATGAGTAAGACATGGAAATAGGTTTGAAACTCTGAAAAAACATAAAATTACTTACCATGCCCAACTAACAATGATAATCTGTTATGACTGTAAAGCAAAGAGTACAGAGCTAGAATAAAACAGTTTACTAAGTGTCAAATATATGTTTATAGTTAAGTATACACACATTCTTATGGTTCTCATGTATTATGGGCTAGGGAATTCTCTTGTTCTGAGTTATCAAAGTTTTATTACCTCTGAATCTTACCATTAAGCACCGAATGCCAGTTTGAGCTTACACCACAAATTGCATGGCATAAAATATGAATATAAACATCAAGAAACCTGCACCCCGAATCCTGATACTACCAAGTCCCCAGTCACCTGTGGTTATAAGGCAGCATACCTCACTGCTTTTCCAGAGAGGCCTCTTGTTAGCAATACTTAGCATCCACAGTTGATGAATCCATGAGAATATCTCTGGAGGAGTCACGAAAATTCGTGCTAAAATCTGAGGTCACTCATCTCTGAATGCTCGTGGAAAGGCAGACACAGCTTCCTGTAGAACTGGAGTGCTTCTGCGACTCTTATTCTCTCCCCATTGTCCAGGTTAGACACAGGCATTGGGCCCCTCCAGTTTGCACAGCAGTACTTGCAGCTGTCTTTCCGACTGCCCAGCTCCAATGTGTATGGGCTGGGGGAACACGTGCACCAGCAATACCGTCACAACATGAGCTGGAACACCTGGCCCATCTTCACCAGAGATGCAACTCCCACAGAGGTGAGCTTCTACCTACCTTGACCCCTGCTCATAGCTCACAGCCCAGAAGACTCAACCCCAATCCTCAAAAGTAGCTGGCAAAAATACTGCTCTGTCTTATTTTGCCCAACTTGCATGAATTTGTTTGGGGGAATACTTGTTCTTAAGTTTGATATACAGAAATTAAAAAAAAAACTTTCTTGGAAAATAGAATTGAATGATTACATAAAATAAATAAGTTAGCATTAGAAAGCTACCGGGCCTCTTGGTGCAAGCATACAATCAGTTATTCAGAAGGCTGAAGCAAGAAGATTGCAACTTAAAGGCCACCCTGGCCTACAGAGTAAGTTCAAGACCAACCTGGGCTACTTAGTAAGACCCTGTCTCAAAATAAAAACCATGAAAAGGACTAAGAATGCTAGTAGTGACAAGTTTGCATTACTGAGTATGTGAAGTTCTGAATTCCGTACCAGTATCACAAAAAGAAGAGAAGAAAATCCTTTTGCAAAAGTGATGTTTTCTTACTTTAGTAATTATTTAGAGAAGAACATCAATTGGAGGCCATTACCAGTAGAGTTGGTAGATGGAAAGTTCCACTGTAGCTGCTCTGGTATTGCATATTAGCATGTTTCAAAGGCAGCAGTATTGGCTGTTTCTTTCATTTCTATAACATTTTGAGATGCATTTTTGCAGTATATCCTTTCTGAATAGTATTCCATTAAATACACACACCCTATTGTGTTTCTCCATTTTTTATGATAATGTCATTTTGGTACAATATACTTAATTAAATGTTGAGTGTGACTTTTTGGTCCTGTGACTCACATTTATTTATTTTTGTTTATTTCTTTGTTTATTAGAGACAGAGCATTGTTGTGTTGATCATGCTGGCTTGAAAGTCATTATGTAGCGCAGGCTGTCCAAAAAGTAGTCATCTTCTTGCCTCTGTTTCCTGAGTACTGGAGTTACAGGTGTGTTCCACCATACCTTTCAGGATAAATTTTTTAAACATACAATCCTGATGCTTCTGTTTTTCCTTTCTTGGTGACAGGGCATGGCTAACCTGTACGGAGCACACACCTTCTTCTTGTGCCTTGAAGATACCAGTGGAGCTTCTTTTGGAGTTTTTCTGATGAACAGCAATGCTATGGGTAGGGAGCATCTTTTTAATCTTCTTTGGATAGGAATAGATTTAGATATGATGCTTTTATTTTAAGAATCACTCTATTGTGAGAACCTCAGTGCTTCTACTGAAACTAGAAACCTGACGACAGTCTAACCTGTTCAGAAATCCAGCTCAGGCTTAGAGACACTTGACTGAAACCTAACTCAGGTCCTTCCTCTGATGGAGTGTTTCTCCTTATATTGTATGGATACTAGGATCCATTGATGTCCACACTCCAGAGACACTGTAGACTCTAGCGTGTGTCATGCTGTCTGCCTACAGGCAGCAGACTGTGTTTGTGAATTATATCTCATAGCCCACTCTACAGTCATCTTCCTTCAGCTTCTATTTAGTGGTGTGCCAAGAAGCATTATTGATTTAAAAATATAACTGTCATATATATGGATATATATGATATATAAATCGTGTGTGTGTGTGTGTGTGTGTGTGTGTGTGTGTGTGTGTGTGTGTGTGAAACTCACCTAATAAGTTTCCAAAATATTTTTCCTTTGGATTAACCCACTCATATATCATAGAAATTTATTCCAATGTAGCCAGGTAGCAATATAATTTGTTCTTTTTTTCCTCATAAGCAGCATGAAACAAGACAAAACTTTACTTTTGATGAGTATGTTGCTTAAATTAACAAAGTTCAGATAAATGAATGTATGAGATCCATATTCCTTTGAAAATGAAACAGAATTTGGGACAACTCAGCTATTCATGCTTTCAAGGGATGTGTATTTTCAGAAGATCACACTAATCACTCACTTAAATCCTTCCAGAGGTCACTCTTCAGCCTGCTCCTGCCATCACTTACCGTACAACTGGGGGCGTTCTTGACTTTTACATCTTGCTGGGAAACACACCAGAGCAAGTAGTTCAGGAGTATCTGGAAGTATGGGTCTGCCTTCCCTACTGTGGGGCTGTTGCTATTTTCTCATATATTTGTTTGAGTTAACAAGATGGAAGTTAAGGTTATTAGTAAATAGTATAGAAACAAATGCTTAGTTTACAAGTATTTTGCCATTTTTTCTTTAATGAATTGACTGAAGTTTTCTGCATTACTGTAGGCACCATCCACAAAGCCTTGAGAAATACAAAAGGAAGTTTAATTCTGCTTGCTAAGCATGCTCATTGTCTATTTCCTATGTCCTAACCAATCATTTCAAAGACCTGCAGCCACAATCCACAATGTGCATTCAATCAACAAATAAGTAAATAGGAAAGAAAGAATTATAGGAAATTGGAGAAAACTTCTGATTAAGGAGCAAGGACTCAGAATAATGTGGGGCAGGGTTTTAGTCTTCTTAGAGTGTTGACTTGAGGCACTAAGAAATTTTGAATACTTCAAGCATATAGCATTTTTTCACCCATCACACTCTTTACTCATAAGTTTTCACTCTTTCATCATTGTCAGACACCACCATCTGCAGTGACAGGAGCCATCTTTATGCCACTCTGTGAAGCCAGGAGCAGTGTATGCTTTGTGTCATTTATACTCTCAGTGTCTATGGAGGACCTTGTCACACTGAAAGCATTATGAAAATATTGGATGAATGAATATTATTGTGTCTACTGTTTTTCAGGGACAGAGTTATAACTCAGTGGTTGGGTGCTTGTCTGTCATACATGAGACTCCGTCCTCTATTCTCAGCAGCAAAACAAACACCAACTGGGAGGATTAGTGTTAATGGTCAAGTTGGCAATACCTAGAGTTATCTAGGAGATGGGCCTGTGGGAATGCCTGCAGAGAACTCTCTTGGTTACATTAATTATATTCCAAGAGCTATCTTGACAGTAGATGAGACTATTGCTTAGGCAGGATGGAAAGAGCAGGGAAAGCATTAGAAAGCCTTCATTGAGCACCACTCCTATTCCCTTCCTTCCTCCACCTCCCTTTCCCCTTCTTCCCTCCCCTAGATGAAATATGACCAGCAGTTTCAACCTTCTGCTGCTTTGACTTCCATGCTGTGATGGACTGTAACTTGAGCCAGAATAAACCCGTTTCCCCTTAAGTTGCTTTTATTGGAGTATTTCATCACAGCAACAAGAAAAGAAATTAAGACACCACCTTCCAACCAGATAAACAAAGAATTCTTTCACCTTACCTCCATTTTCTTTGTTGTTGTTGTTTTACTCTTGGGAATTCAGCCAACACTCTCTTGCACACTAGGTAAACACATTCTACCAACTGAGCTACTTCTCGAGCCCATTTTCTTTACCCCTTTGTCAACCTTCCTAATGCTGCTTCCCTTTAGTAAGTCCCTCATGTTGTGGTGACACCCAACGATAAAATTAGATAGTTGTTATTTCTTAACTGTAATTTCACTGCTGTTATGAATTGTAATGTGAATTCAGAGATTCAGGATTTCTGATGTGTGACCCTTAAAGGAATCTTGACCCATGGGTTGGGAACCACTGCCAAAGGATGACATTATTAGTCCAACATATTCTGAAAATTCTATTTTTTACTACTGTTGCTGCTGTTGGGATATGTTAAGTTATTTAAAGTGATGAATGACATGAGCTTTGGTGTTTACAACAGGAGATTTCTTTGGTTTCTGACAATTTTAGACTTGAAGACTTTATAGAAAAGGAATAATTGATTCAGGTGAACTCTATGCTACCATGTTCATTAGTGTTTGTTATAAAGCTCAGATGCTTTCTCACCTCTCTTCCCAGGTTGTTGGACGACCATTCTTGCCTTCATACTGGAGCCTTGGTTTCCAGCTCAGCCGCAGGGACTATGGTGGCCTTGATGGGTTGAGAGAGGTTGTACATCGAAACCGTGATGCTCAGATCCCTTATGTAAGTTGAGGCTTTTATTATCATGGTTCAGATACAATTTCATTTCTTCCTTTTCCCTTGCATTCTATTCAATTATGAAGGAAAATAGACAGCTTGGAGGGATACTCTCTCAGCCTAGACACACTGGGGAGGGTCTAGGCTCTGCTCCAAATAATATGACAGAATTTGAAAATTCTCACCATGGAAGGCCTCACCCTCCCTGGGGAGAAGAAAGGGGTTGAGATAGGGGTTCTGTGGGAGGGCAGGGGAGTAGGGGAGGAAGAGGGATCTGAGATTGACATGTAAAAGAAGCTTGTTTCTAATTTAAATTAAAAAAGAAGGAAAATAGAATGGTAGATTGATAGACACACATACAGCATCAGGAATTAATATACTGAATTGTTCATGTGCCCATGTATAGGGCATCGTTCACACAGCCAAAGGACTTGAATTTTAGTCTTATCTTTCGAATCTCCATGAAATGTTGGGTTATTTAGCAGCTGTATATTGTGGTTTCTATCTTTAAAAAGTAAAAATTTTACCCTTACCTTGATGTGGGGTTTGGGGTGAGAAACACTTTAGATAATGCATGTAAAGCATCTATCCCTGAGTGTGAACACCATCAAACTTAGTTGTAATTTTATGAGTGAAATCAACATGTGGTTATGTGTTCAGCAAGAGACGAAGATGATAATAATGATTTGCAGTAAGCTAGTTTCACAGCTATCTTGCAAAACTCCCTGCAGATTAACTCTGAACTCCATGGTTGCAAAGTATTTATGATGTTCAAAGTTCTCCTATGAATCAAAAGTCACTCCAAGTGTCTGAGCTCTGATAAGGTCAACATGGTCAAGGATGTTGTCAAAAGAATATCTTCATTACTAACTCTTCAAGCTTTGAAACTTCAGTTCAGACATACGTATATGTGGTTAGCATTTGATGGAAAACTCTGTGGGCGGAAATGACTTTGGCCTGATCTCAGGGAATCCAAGAGGGCAAACATAGCAATCAGGTTTTCTTAGGAGAAATACTCCCACCATCATCATTGGTACTGAGGGGAAATTGATAATATTCAATTTTACTTTCCCCATGTATACTGTCTAAAAACCCCCAGTTCCAGGAAGAATCAGACCAATGCTTTGCATACCTGTATTATTTTAGAAATACTTTCTCAGTTGTGGCTGGCATTCATTTATCACTGTTTTATGAATGAGGCATTGTATAGCTCCACTTCTCTAGGATTGCATTACTAATCAGAAGGGCCGGTTTGTACAAGCGATTCTTGCAATTCTACTTACACTGTTCTTTCAGGTCTGTCTTCTGCTTCTGCTGGTATTACAGAAACAAATGAGCTCCCCTTTCCTGGTTGGGAGCCCCCTTCTCTGTGGATATGGGTGGCACCTGGAGCCTAAGGACCTACTAGGGATCAGAGCAGAAGATACCACTTTGGTCAACAAGCCTCATGCCACATGAGGAACATACACGAGACTTTCATACGATCATGGAATATATGGAAGATTGGAAAACAAAGAATACCCAGAGTCAGGTTCCTATACTGAAGCCCCAGTCAGCCTTTACCTCCTTATTCAAGTGACTGGAAAATGACCTTTAACCTCTTTATATTCCAGTCTCATTAGGAACAGCATCTTATCTTCACACATTGCTATGCAAACACACAAACGATGCACATAAAATAATTTGGCTCGTTAAGTCTGTATATCTTTTTGTCACTTAACATTATCAGTCATTCCTCTGCAGTTTAATAAAGCAGAAGACCCCTTCCTCCTCTTATGAACTTATGTTTTGACTTAATATTTGAGATCCAAGTTGTTTGTGGTTATCCGTTCCCTCATATATTCATTCAAATATTCATTTAATGAGGACCTGTTGCATGTCCAGCATCTAAGTCCTCAGATTACAAGGATAAATGAGATAACACTTCCTACCCTCTGTTCCTCAACGTACCTCATGGCATCTTTTATCAGGATGAGAACAGATGCATCTTTCCCAGAGGGCTCATTTATTTCTAGGAGCCAGCCAAGGTTGGGGAGTCCCAGGACAATGAAGCTATATAACTTCTCTTTTAATGGTTAGGAACTAGAGTTGAAAACCTTCCAATGAGCAAGGTTCCCCTGTTCTAACTGCTCAGAACTGTCTTCCAGGATGTGCAGTACTCAGACATAGACTACATGGATGGAAGGAAAGACTTCACTATTGATGAGCAGGCTTACCCGCAGCTGGCGGATTTTGCTAAGGACCTGCATAACAATGAACAGAAATATGTAATTATTCTGGTACGTTCAAACCCTTAGCCTGATACCTCATGTTTTGCTTTCGAGTTGCAAAAGAGACTTACCAAAATGATATGTATACCCTGCTTATTTTTTAGAACCCTGGCATCTTCAAGGACCTTAACTATAAGGTCTACAACAATGGAAGCAAGAGCAGAGTGTGGATCATGAGCTCCAGTGGCTTTGCTGTTGGGGAGGTAATTTCTTAAGAAATTCTGAATAAATAATAGTTTGGGCAAAGGTTGTACTTTTTATATGAAGATAGATGGAATGCAAGCTACAATAGTGACAGTTTCATGGCTTTAGTAGTTTTATTCTATTTTAAACTAATAGAAATGATAATAAAGTTATTAAAATTCTAAGAGATATAAAAAGCTATCCTGGACTCATTAATATTTCAGATAATAGGAAACAAATATGCCATTAGTAGAAAATTGACTGCCTCTCATTTTCTCTTCTCTGAGATGTTACATTCAACATCAATAATGCAGCAAGATGCTCATGATGAATGTGGGATCCAGTTCAGACACAAAACTTAATTCACACGAAACTCATAGCTAAAGCCCAGGCTAGACTCCGAGGTATCAGCTTCAGAAACTGAGATAAACAACCAAGGAGCTGATTTTCAGAACAGCTGTAGTTATAAGACTTTGATGATCCCCCATGGGAGGCCTCACCCTCCCTGAGAAATGGATGGGGGTGGGGTGGGGTGTTGATGCAGAGAATGGGAAGGTAGGAGGGAGAGGAAAGTGGGATTGGTATGTCAAAAAGATTGTTTTTAATTTAACTAAAATTTAATTTAAAAAAAGACTATGGACTTTCAGGTTGATTCACATAGCCAACCTTTTATTCCAGTTATATATAAAGTTAACCCAGGTGACTGAATTGTGTGAAATTCATAAAAAATGGTACTTAATTTCAGAAATCCATGTCACTGTATAGTATTTATAGCTCCTGGCTGTTTACTTTCCAAAACTATCTTTTTGATTCCGTAATAGCCTGTCTTCCCCTCAGCTCACTTAGTTTATCTCATTGACTCTGTGCACTTGAATTGCTTTTCTATCTTATTGCTCTTAATTTTCTATGAAGCTACACAAAGTTCTTCCTTAAAACCAAGCCTGTGCTTTCACTGTTAGACATGAGTCTCTAAAACACCAGATAGACTGATTTTCATCAATTAGTAGATATCAGAGACCACAGTCAAATAAAGATTGTGGTTATCTAAAAATTATCCCCATTAGATGACCTGTTTTAGTAGGGTGGGGTGTTTGGAAGGACTGCAATGAAGAATTTTTATAATTAAGACAATTAATTAGATGACTGCTTCAACTGACCAGCAAGTGAGAAGGATCATTTGTTCTAAGGCATTGGCAGAGATAACAATAGTAGAGGCAAGTTATGGAATGTGGCAAATGCATTGGGTTACAATGGAGTTAGCTTGGCCTCTCTTATGATGTTGTTGAGATTTTGTTGCAAAACCACTTATTCCTAAGGATGTGTAAATTACCTCTATTATTACTTGATGTCCATCAACTAAAACAAAGAATCAATAGCCCAACACATTAAAAAATGGAATTTTAAACTTTTAATTTTTATTTATTGTTATTATTATTATTTGGTTTTATTTTTTTATTTATTTTTAGACAGAGTTTCTTTGTGTAACAGCCTTGGCTGTCCTGGAACTCACTCTGTAGCCTAGGCTACCCTGAAACTCAGAAATGAGCCTCCTTCTGCCTTCTGAGTGCTGGGATTAAAGGTTTACACTGCCACATCCAACTAATTTTTAAGCTTTCATCTTCTGTATTAAGAATTATTTGCACTTTATAATGGCTCTCATTAAAGATGTTGGATCTTAGAACAAAACAAATATACATGACTATGGGAAATAGACTAAGGAGAAGAAGGGTTTGATGGGGTGGGAAGGAGACGAGGGAGTGAAGGGGCCAAGAGTAATCAGAATACTTTGTTTACATGTATGGAAATGATAAAGAATACTTTTTGTTTTGAGTTTTCGAAACAGGGTTTCCATGCTTAGCCATGGCTGTCCTGGAACTAGCTCTGTAGACCAGGCTGGCCTCAAACTCACACAGATCCACCTGCCTCAGTGTCATGGCCCGGCTTGCCTCAGCTTTAACCCACAACAGCCATGAGGTTCTACCTGAGTGGGGGTGTGTGGGCTTGGAAGCTTCTAGTAGCCCAACGGCGATAAAGACCAAACACAGGCATCTTGTCATCTTCAGAGAGCTCTCAGTTCCATGTTGTGGAACTAGAGCCATTCCTTTATTAACCATCTTTTCTGGTGTCCCTTAACCACCATGCTAGTAACACGAGGCAACCATTTCTCTCTTTGTCCTCCTGTCTCCCTCTGGCCCTCGCCCGCTTAGTTCCTCTCCTTCTGTCCTCATCCATTACTCACAGATCTCTAGCCCTCCACCTAGGTGAGGGCCTATTCAGATGCTTAGGCACATACAGATGCAAAATAAGAGGCATATTACCCTCAGGCCAGGTAAAGTTACAGCCTGGTGTTAATTAACAATGCAATAGTGGGCCAGAGTTTCCTGGTGCCACCTCTGCTGACAGCCAGAACCTGGGGCCCAAATATTCGGTCCCCCACACCTCTGCCTCCTGAGTACTGGCATTAAAGGCCTGTGCCATCCGCACCCAGCAAAGAACATTTAAAAATAATTCTTTGCACTTTACTAAATATAACCATGGAATTATATGAGTATAAAATTATTCCAAATTCCCAATCAATAAATTTATGGAGAAAATCAACAAGAATGTTATACTTCAGTTTATATTCTAGTAAGCCAGATATTTAATAATTTGACTATGTGTATACATTTTTGTGGTTGTGAAAGATACCTAGAGCTACAGTTCAACACATGTAGAAAAGATAGATAGCATTGCACACTTTTGATAGGGGTAAGAGTAACTTTATTCAAGCATTTGCAAAATATTGCTTATATGATGAATTATATATACATATATATGTATATACATGTATATATATAATGACAATTGCTCAAAACATGTTTTGTATAACCTTCAATTAACAATATATTAAACATTCAAGTCATACTCTTAAAATATTTAACAGTTGGACTTTTCAGAATTTTATTTTAAAACTTTATTTTTAAAATTTATTTTTTGAGAAATTTATTTTATGAGAAATATTTCCATTATTCACTACCTCCTTTTTCAAATTCCAACTTCTTCCCTCTCCTCTACAACTCCTTCTCAAATTCTTGGCCTGTCATTCTTTAACTATTATTGATACATATTCATAAAGATGATGAGTACAATCTGCTGAGTTCATTTAGTATTTTTCTTATGTACACATGTTTGGTGCTGACCACCTACTAGCTGGGTCAGCACTGGGAAGACTGGTTCTTCCTCTTTCAGCACTGGTGATTGTCCAAGCTCTTCATGTAGGAGTCTGCCTGCGTGGAATTTCTCCCATCCATATTTGTGTGCTAAGTGATGCTGTCCTTGCACAAGTCTTGTACGGCAACCGTGTTGTTGGTATTTCACGGGCATAGCTTCCTAGTCACATACAGAAGACAATCTCACATCTCCTAATTCACCTTCCATACTGAAAATTGACATTTTGAGATAGGAAAGGATGTGTGGAGGACTTTCATCTAATCAGTGGGCTTTTCTTCCTTTTTTTCTTCCTTTGGCTCCTTACATGTATTTTACTATGCTTGGATTTTGCTGGCACAGAGGCAAACCTGACTCTAAGTAATGAGGAATATGAGGTTTCTGATAAAAAGAAACAGCAGTGAATAATCAGTGACCAGCCGAACCGTGACACATACTGCCATACTGCTCCTTGTTCTGCAGGGCTATCCAGGACAGTCAGTATTTCCTGACTTTACCAATCCAGCCTCGACTCTGTGGTGGACCAGGCAGCTCACTGAATTTTATAGCCTTCTGGAGTTTGATGGTGTGTGGATTGTAAGTTATCATCCCAAACTCAAATGTCCACTGGAAGTGGACATGCCAAAATTTCATAGATGTTGATCCTGATCCATAGTAAAATAATTTGACTGACATACTGACATAATTTTTTTCTCCATGCCCAGTATATATCCAGAAAATTGGGATCCTAAAATGCCATGTTCTTCCTTTACATTTGCCACCAACTGATGTTTCATTTTGATAGTCTTTAGTTTTCTTAAGGAATTACATTTTTTCCCTATTAATTTCAATTTTAGCTTACAACATGGTCTCATTAAAAGTGATGGTTGCAAGTTTCCACATTAGTTCATAAAGATTTAATCATTAAAAATAGCTTAACGAGGGCTTTGTGGTTTTGTTGTAGAAAATTAAGGTGTCTTTGAAAACTTAAGATTCCTTTGTTGGCAAGATAGACGTTATTTTATTTTTAATTCATTTTAGAAAAATGTATTAGACCTCAATTATATTCTTTTATTGTTCCCCAGTGGAATATAGGACAGAGAAAATGAAAAGAGCAAGAATATTACCCAGTCCTTAGTTTTTAAAATATGTTGAAGTAGTAGCACCAGTAATAAAATCTTCACAATTAATAAGGCAAAGATCAACCTTTAAATATATATATATGTATATATGTACATATATATATATAGAACTCACAGAGATCCACCTGCCTCTGCCTCCCTAGTGCTGGGATTAAAGGCATGTGCCACCAACACCTGGCTGAAATTATATATCTTAATTAGCAGATTAAATAAATTTATAAAATTAAAATGCTGTCAATGTCTAATATATTAGAACTGTAATATAACTTTGATACAATTTAACCCAGATTACTTATTGTTATAAAAATGATACAGAGGTCAAGGAAAACTGGAGAGGCTGTTTAAAAAGAAGCTAAGAGGAGATCTGGATATTCAGTTTTATAAGCACCTCCTGCCCAACTAATTTTCTATCCATAATTTTCCATCTTGTATATTTTGTCTTTGAAGGAAATGGATGAACTATCTACACTTCTCCAAGGTCTCAATCACAAGTGCGAATCAAACAACTTGAACTTTCCTCCTTTCACTCCCAGTAAGTTTTCCTGTTTGCCTGGACCCTGGAACTAGACATATTTCAGCAACTTGAGAACCACTCATCCTAGCTAGGAGAACTTAGTTTCCCAGCCTGATTAATCCTCAGACATCTGGAGGACCCTCTTACTAAAGTCTATGTGGTACCTCTTAGACACTGATTGCCTTTTACTGCAAAGGGCAACATGTGATTAAAGTGCTCACTTGATACCTCCCTTCTCTCCCTCCCTCTCTCTCCCCCATACTCCTCATGGGCCTTCCACAAGAGCTTTAGATTCTTTTATTCACTCCCTGCACCCAAAGCTCAGAGGAGACTGTGTTTTGGGTTTTGTGAGAAAATTTAAACACTCTAAGGTACAAATTACCTATCTGTAATTCATATTCTCTTTCTCTCTCTCTTCCTCCCACTCTCTGCTCCCATCCTTTTCAGTAACCATAGTTGAAGGATTTATTTTTTATTTCATTTTATGTGCATTGGTGTTTTGCCTGCATGTATGTCTGTGTAGGGGTGTCAGATTCTCTGTAACTGGAGTTACAGACATTTGTGAGCTGCCATGTAGGTGCTGGGAAATGAACCCAGGTCTTCTGGAAGGACAGTCAGTGCTCTTAACCACTGAGCCACCTCTCCAGACGTAGCCATAGTTTAAAGTATCAATGGTCCCATGTTTAATGGAGATTTGCATTAAAGTAGCTTGATTATTTTAAGACCCTTATGAGAATTTTGCAATATTTCATGGTAAGACTTTATTGAATTAAAGTAAATCTATAATTTTTCCTTCCTTTGTTACCTCTCTCTTTTCTCATTAATAATACAGGTTAAACACCAATTGTTCTTTTATTGTCTTGTGTATTGGTCCTATTCCAAATCCAGAGTGGTTTCCTTGTCTCCTGAAGAATGTGTGTATTTGTGTGGGAATGAGGCAGTGTGTTAGTTACCTTTTTTACCTTTGAGACAAAATTCCTGGCAAAAACAGTTTCGGGAATGAAGGGTTCATTCTTGCTCACAGATAAGAGGGTGCTGTGTGTCATGGCAGCTGTTCACATTAATTATGTGCCCAGTAGGAAGGCAGAGATGAACACTGGTACTCATCAACCTTCTTCATTCAGTCTAAGCTCCCAGGCCATAGGGCGATGCCACCACTTTCAGGGGATGCGCTCCTCAGTTAAATTTCCTTGGAAGCAGAGACAAACCCTGAAGTGTGGCTCCTAGATCTAAATCCAGTCACACTGGCATCGATGGTTGCCAAAGTAGAATAGACTATGGTATGGGGAGAAGGAAGCCCCAGGGTCTCAGTGGATTAACTCTATGAAAGTGTCTGCTTTGTTCAGGTCAAGTATGAGTGGCTTGAAACCAAGCTGAGGGTCAAAGATCTTGCTCCTTGCTTTGTCTGGTTCTTCCATGATGAATTCCTTTGATTCACAATTCACAGGGGAAGGAGGAGAAGGTTGAGAGGGTATGAAGACATGGAGTAAGGATCTTACTTAAGCTGCCTGTATTTCTTTGCCAGAATCTGACCTCAGAGGCACACATCATCTTCAAGAGAAGTCAATGTTCACAAACAAGCCTCTGAACTTCTAGAACACTACTGAGTGGTTGGGCATCTGGACAGTCTGACAACTTTTGTTCTGTCTGTCCATCCTTTATAGTCTCCCGAGATCAAGGTTTAGTTGGTTCTCAGCTCCCCTCTGGCCACTGAAGGAGTGCTAAATTTCTTTGAGTTTTAACCATTTAAATTTTTGCAAATCTCCATGGTTACCTAACAACTTCATTCTTCTCCATCAGTCTGTGTTTTCTATACCTTTACTTCTAGATCAACGTGCCACTTTTGTTTCTTAGCCTCTTAATATTATTATTATTGTTTTTTTGCTTTTGTCTTTGTATGAAAAACCCACTACACCACTGTCTGCTTGCTCTGACATATACCCGACTCTGTCCCGACAGCCTTTTATCTACTAACATGGGAAAAGCCATGCTCCCTCCTAACTGAGCCACTTCTCATGATTTTATGGTCACATAGTACATGTTCTCATGATGCTGACACAAATGCAACTGCTTTTGGCCTTAGGAAAATTCTAATGTCTGCTCATAAAGAACATAGTTGTGAATTTCACAAGGTGCCAGATGTATAACTTTCCTTACAGTTTACTATGCAGTTAAACCTCCGGCTCCAAACTCTTGTTCTACATGGCTGGCGTGAAAGTTTTAACCTTAATTTGTTCGTTGTCATGTGTCTTTCTGGAGGTATGCCCCTTAGTAAGGGCCTGCACAGGACAAAACATCAGGTATGCTTGCAAAGAGGAGAAAAACAAAAAACCCTGAGTTTTAGTTTAAAAAAGAAAAAGTAAAAATAAAAGCCACAATGCAGATTCTCAGGGTTGGGATTTGAGTTCTTATTCATGAAAATACCCAATGTCACATGACTGGTGCTTTACCTGTGAGATAAAAGAGAATATGCCCAATTTACATACCCCCTAGAACATTGTCCATGTAGTTCTCTTAGATTAAGTGTGTGTGTATAGACAGCAGGTGCTTCGTGTTTAATCTCAGATCAAAGGCCCGGTGTGTTGAGCCGGTTTCTCAGATGCCTTCACTTGCTACTATCCTTTGAGAGCTCCAGGGAATCAATGGCTCACTCAGCTTGGTCCTGATACAGGAAGTAGTAAAGGGTAACATTTAAAATGTAGAAAGGCTTTTTTTTTAATCAAGTGGGGATTGGTGATGGGACAATAATGGTGAGGAGGAAAAGGAGTAGGTGTCTATTTTGTTACAGTTGCTTGATGGAGAATTGCCCAACTGATGAATGTTTCCTTTAGGTGTCCTGAATGGCTCACTGTTGGTGGGAACCCTCTGCATGGACACAGAGTTTCATTCTGGCCTGCACTATGATGTCCACAGCCTGTATGGCTACACCATGTCAAGAGCCACAGACTTGTAAGGCTTTGCTTGTCTACCTGGTTCTAGATTTGAGAAGGTGGGAGGTGACAAGTAAAGGGGGTCCTGTTGCATAAACATGCTGCTCAACAATTTGTGTGATTATTAAGAATATAGACACCATGGGCACAGAGTAGTACTTATGGTGCACAAAGTTTGGTTTTCTGTGCAAGTTGGATTTTGATTGGTTTATGCCTAAGGCACACTGTCATTTCAATGACACTCACAGGCAATAAAATATAAGGCAGTCAGAGCTCCCAGATGGACGGCAGCCATGGTCCCACTACTGAATTGCTAAGGTTACCACAGACTTCAATGAATAAAAAAGTACGAAAATGCTAAGTCAAATATCTATGGAACATACTTATGATAAAAAATGATTTATTTGTTTTCTGAAATTCAAGTTTAACTGGGTGTCTTACAATATGCTTTATTTCACCCTCTTCCTCCCCTCTCTACTTCTTGATCCTGTAGTTTCAGTTCTCTTCTTTGTATGCACCACAAACATACAGAGTGAGAGAGAGAGAAAGAGAGAGAAATGTGCAGACACGTTATTTATATATAGAAATACATACTCATCTGTGTATATGCGTGTGTGTGTGTGTGTGTGTGTGTGTGTGTCCCATAAGTATCTTCTAGCATTCTCTCTTTTCAGTATCTCATGGGGTCCTAAGTACCAGTTACATAGCCCTGCTTCTTCTTTGAACTAACCCCCTCTTCTGACTAATTTTAATTTCGGCATCTTGGTTAGTAACAATGCTGTGTTATCTCCCAGACATTGAAGAGATAACCTTCATATCATCTTTAAGTTTTTTCTACTTCCACCTGAAATCAGCTTTTGATTATTTTGTTTTTACCTTAGAGATTTTATCATAATCATCTCTTATTTTTTCCACGATTACTTTTTTATTTTGGTTTTTCGAGACAGGGTTTCTCTGTGTAGCTTTGGAGGCTGAGCTGGAACTAGCTCTTGTAGACCAGACTGGTCTTGAACTCACAGAGATCTGCCTACCTCTGCCTCCCGAGTGCTGGTATTAAAGGGGTGTGCCACCAACACCCGGCCCCCACGATTACTTTTTAATTAAAGTCCTCATCATTTCTTTCATTAATGACTATATATTGCTTACCTCTCTGACTTAAAATATCTCCAAATAACATATCTTCTACCAATTCAAATTATAGTTCAAGGCCAGGCAACATAAGCATCTCCAGGAACAATAGTGTCCAGCATCTTGAGCCACAATTTGAACCGTAGGAATCAAAACACCCTTTTCCCAAAACCTCAAGATGCATTGAATGGATGTTAAAGTTTAAAAAGAACTATTTACACTGCTGTCAAAGTGGTCATTTTGAGTCTTCTTGTTTATTTCCCCATTTTATATATTACATTACACTCTTCCCTATATGATAAATAAGCTATTAGTCCTGAACAAGACAGCCTTTAGGTGGCCTTGTCCATTTTCCAAGTATGAAACTAGCATATGTTGTCATTTCTGGATACTCTCATGACTATTCTATATGCCATAATTTTTCATATTACAATAAGCAAAAATTATTTTGCTTTCATTTTGTAACACGACAATCACTCTTTCATAATCTTAGGTGCTCATTTTCTTCTTGCTGCATTATAATCTCCATTATTGAAGCCCTCTCCTTAGCTCAAAGGACTGTACATTGAATATATGTCGGTGCAGTAAATGCCTGGCTTGAGAAAAGCAAGTGCACGATGGGACCTATTGGGTCAAAGACTGGCTATCTGTCTGTTTTTCAACACTGTTATGACTTCCCATTACCCTGGGCTGACCAGGGTACAAAGAACCCTTGTCCAGAAAACACCTATGTTTGTACATTAGTGAAAGCAAACTCCCAGAACACTAGTTCCTGATCACAATCCTTCTCTTTTCTGAGAGAGAAGAAAGAAGGGGGTGAAGGAGAAGACGGAGAAGGGAGGGAATGGGAAGATATAGGGATGAGAAAAGAGAAGGATTGTGGTCAGGAAGCAGTGTTCTTCTGGGAGTTATCTTTCAGTAACATACAAACTAAGGTGTTTTCTGGACAGCCCAATGTAAAGGAAATTCATGACAGTGTTGAAAATACAAACAGATAATCTTTGCTACCCCTACCCTTCTTCTATGTTTGCTTTCCTCTACCCCTGCTTCCCTTTTCCCTCTCTTCCTCCTTCATCCCCTCCTACTCCCCTTTTTCTATCTTTTTTGGAAAATAAGCCAAATAAACAGGACTCTGTTTCCTCATCTCTGTAATGACAGAACTGTGATGATATTCCCACCAAATCCCTCTCCGGTCTAATAGGCTTTATCTCCTAGACACTGGTGTCTAAGAGTGAGGGTTGAGCTAGAGAGTGAATGAGTCTCATGACTCAGACAATACTGAGAAAGGAAAGAGTTTCAGATTGCTTTACTGCTGGTGCCTCCGTGTGATAAAAGTGCTATAAAACCATAATTGGTTTGGTTAGTACATTCTACAAGCTGTGGTTAATAGTTAAAAAGTAACTGTGACTAAGTAAGAACTAGGTGTCTTTATGATATGCCTGGGCTTGGGAGAGTAGGTCACATTTCTAGAAAACAGTAAAGACAAATGGACCTTGACTTTTGGGCATGAGGTACTGTTAGATTTTAAAAGTAAATGTTTGGGTCACTTCTTCATACCTGACTTTTGCCCCCTAAGAGTCAGCACTTTCCATTCAGTGAGGTGAGCACATCAGGGCTGGTGGCATGGATCTGCTGAAGGCATAGCGCAACCTTCCTTTGGGGACAGTGGCAGAAGGCTAAGCTGGGTAGACATTATCTCTCTTTGTCTCCAGCCTGAAAGGAGGCAGATCTCTTCAGAGATCATGAAATGCTCATAAAGAGGCCAGACCCAGACAAAGCGAGGAAGAGAAATAAAGGAATCTCCAATAATTATTTTTCTAAACTGTCAATAAGATGCATGTTATCTAGTCCGTGTTGCATAAACACCTTCTCCCAACTGTAACCTCTCAACTGAATTCGTGATCCTGTTTCAGTTTCAGTTTGGGTAGGCTGAACACATCTTCCTCTTACCAACTGTTCATGGTGCAATAAAGTAAACCAGGGTAAAGAGTCTCATAGTCCACACCAAGACACAGCCTGAACCCAAGCCAGGGTTATGTTAAGCAGGATTATGCACCAAGCAGTAAAGCCTGCATGAAAGAAAGCAAGAGGGGGGATCTGTTAGAATAGATGGGGCCAGAATCCAACTCACTGTGATATATGACATATACTGTCCTTCAAAAGAGCCAGATCAAAATCAGATCAGAAAAGAGGTAGAATTCATAAAAGCTGTAATCAGGAGTATAGGAGCTGAAAAAAAAAAAAAAAAGGAAGCTGGGACTGATCTGTATCACCTTACACAGGACGTAAAGCCTTACTCAGAAGTGGAAAGAAACTCTTAAAATGGCAAATTTGTTTGCAAGCCTAGTGTTTGATACTTGAGTTTTGCTGTTTTCCATTTGGTTGAAAAACCAATTCCCTCGATTGGCATAAGTTGAGTTCTATCCCGTCACAGATCACCTCACACAAAACTGACTTGGTTTTTCAGGGCCCTGGAAACTGTCTTCTCTTCCAAGAGGAGCTTCATCTTATCACGTTCTACTTTTGCTGGGTCTGGCAAGTTTGCGGCTCATTGGCTGGGAAACAATGCTGCCACCTGGGATGATCTCCGATGGTCCATCCCCAGCATCCTTGAGTTTAACCTATTTGGCATCCCCATGGTAAGCCATGAGGATTACCTTTGCTCTTTGTTACTCTTTCTATCGAGACTCTGTAAGGGGTTTGTAAAACTAAGCGACATGTCTCATTGTCTATGCTTTGGCAAAATCAGTTTCTATGTGTGCTGCAAGATGTTTCTGAAGACAGAATGGTATAAATTAGATTGTCTTTTATACAGTCTCTGTAGGTAGGAAAGAATTACTCTGAGGCAACTGTATGAGTATAAGAACAAAGAATCCTTCCAGGAAAGCATCAGTGAATAGGAAATTATGAGATTGGGGACTGGATGCTGAGGAAGGGCCTTTGATGAAGGTATCCCGTCTAGTCAGTTTGCTTAGTATGTCCTATAATGAGCCTCTCTTGCTTCTCTGGGGCTTGCTTTGAGACTTTAGGATCTTTTGAGTGTTAGATAATATCATAAAGAGATACTCTTTTGTCTTGGATGTCGAAGCACAGGTGTGGGCTCACAAGGGTCCATCAGAAGAAACCTGGGAGACACTTTACAAATGAATTTGAGCTTTTTGCAGCTGCAGCAGACCCCAAACTCAATGGACTGAAGTACTTTCCCTATGCCCAGGGCATTTTTCTCTATATTTACACTTTTGCCAGTTGATTACCATATGCTCAGAACAGTTTAAATGAGGCTTCCAAAAATACACTGCCAAGTGCAGAGTCTCCATTTTCAGGTATCACAGTTTTCTGGGTTTCCTGAACCAAGTTTTGCATAGTCTTTTGTATCCTTAGGAAAGTCCCAAACAAAGTTCACACAGGGGGACGAAACATACCTGTCTGGTCAACAAAGGATGGATTAAGGCTAGTTGCTATCCCTCTGGCACCAGGTCCAGTAGAATGCAGAATTCTGCTACACTCTTTTCTTCTCCCCATAAGAATACAGCAAATGATTTTGCCTTTCTAGTAACCACTTGTTTGCCTGTGTGCTGATTCTCCAGGTAGGGGCAAACATCTGTGGCTACAGAAACAATGTCACAGAGGAACTCTGCAGAAGGTGGATGCAACTTGGAGCATTTTACCCACTGTCCAGGAATCACAATGGTCCTACCTACAGGGTGAGTTCCTCTAAGATAAGAGGTTAGAAGTTCTTGAACAATATTTACTTGCTTTCAAAGAAGGCTTAGAGAAAACTCCTACATACTGGCCCTTACTTCATAAGCACAGGTAACTCTTGAGTGACATGTCTAAAGGGAAGGGTATAAGGATGAATATTTATATATTGAATTGCAGTCAAAAACTCATCCACAGTGGTGAGGACTTTCGCACATCATCTGTACTGGTGGTGGGGTATGGTGGCACACGTCTATAAAACCCAGCACTCAACAGATAGAGGTAGGAGGATTATTGCAAGTTTCAGGGCAGCTGGGTCTACATAAGACCTGTCTCAAAACATCCAACAGTAGCACATGAGGTCCTGGGTTCAATGCCTAGTGCTACCAATAACATCCAAATCTATGCTGCTTCAATCATTGTTATCACCTTGAACAAGATGGGGCATTGGGAGATCAATTTTACATTAATATGGGTTATTAATTTAGCTATTAATTATATCAATATATTATGATAACATACATGATATAGTGTGTCGATATAAATATTAATATAATAAAGGTTACTCATACATAGGAGAGAACAAGGAAGAAAGATTATGGGGGAGTAAGACAGTGATCCAGCATGTTTTTTTCCTTTAATTAGAAACAAGATTATTTTACATGTTAATCCCAGGTCCCTCCCCCCTCCACTGCCTCCCCTGCAGCTAACACCCTACCTATCCCATACCCTTTCTGCTCCCCAGGGAGGGTGAGGCCTTCCATAGGGTCTCTTCAGAGTCTGTCATATCCTTTGGGATAGGGCCTAGGCCAACCCCCTTGTGTCTAGGCTCAGGGAGTATCCATCTATGTGAAATGGGCCCCAAAGTCCATTCCTATGCTAGGGATAAGTACTGATCTACTACAAGGGGCCCCATAGATTTCCAAGGTCTCCTCACTGACACCCACATTCAGGGGGTCTGGAGATCTAACATGATTTTATCTTGTCATAGCACCCTGTTTTTTATGAATAGTTTGGGAGACCAGCCCACTATTACTTTCCATGATTCTTCCTACCATTATCTGTTAAGGTGGAAGCTTTATCCCAGTCGCTGGCGTCCACATACCCAAAGAGTCTGGAATGCTATGGTGGAGTTTCCACCCAAGCCCCTACTTCCATCTCCCTCCAAACCCTGCTGCATCTCAGAAAGCCCACCAAAGGATGACCTCTCCCCCCTTGAAATGCTCAAGACCACTCCCACAGGGTATTTAGACTGTCTCCCAGAAAACAGACTTGTGGTTTTTTGGGTCTCCCTTTCCCGGTCTCCTCTCTGGGGGCGGGGGGAGGGGGAGCTGGAAGGCCATCTGGGAGTGTTGTATCCATTAAATGTGGGCTTTTTCTAATTCAGTTTGATTTGGTCTGATTTAAGTTGCTGCATTGGCAGAGAGGCTCATGGCAGTGTAGAAACTTTCCGTTATCCTTTTAATCTGAAATAATATTTTTTGGTGGGCAAGTCTACAGTAGTAGTTCAAAGTCCTTCTTAAGGAGTTTATATGCAGCAGGAACAAATAGTGTGTCTTTCTTTTCTTTTAATAAAATAAGTTGCACTTGAAATACCTCAAACTGAGTGCTTTGGTTTTAATAAGCTCATTAAAGTGGCCTTAGAGATGACTAACAGATAAGATGCTTGTAGCACAAATCTGAGGAGCAGAGTTAGGATGACCAGAACCCTTGTAAAAGCTGGATAGGTATAGCAGCAGCCTATGATTCCAGCATGGCAGAGGCAGAGGCAGAGGCAGAGAGGCAGAGGCAGAGAGGCAGAGGCAGAGGCAGAGGCAGAGAGGCAGAAGCAGACCTCCAAAACAAGTAGGCTAGACAGACTATCATGAAAGGGCTAGTTCCAGTTCAATGAGAGATTCTGCCTCAATAAATAGACATTCAGCATCAACTTTGGGTCTCTATACCCACACTCAAACAAGGGACAAGGGTGTGTGTGTGTGTGTGTGTGTGTGTGTGTGTGTGTGTGTGTGTGTGTGTGTGTGTGTGTGTGTGTGTGTGTGTGTGTGTGTGTGGGTGGTGTCTGTGTATGTGTGTTGGATGGTTTCATGTCAACTTAACACAAGATAGAGACATTTTGGAAGATGAGCCTCAATTGACTGGCCTGTGGGCAAACCTAAGCTGCATTTCTTGATTGATGATTGATATAGGAGTAATGAGAGCATTCAAGTTCCATCCTCGATGCTCTCTCAGGGACCAGGCTAGAGTTTAGACAGCAGGCAGGTAGGGTTTTTCTAAAAGGAGTCTGAGGGTGATCGAGAAATAAACCAGCTCACGTATGCATTTCTTTCATGGCTCTTTATTCTTCAAAGATGGAAGCCTACCAAAAAAGTTCTCTTTCAAAAGCTCTTTTAAGATTTCTCTCTAAAAGTTCTTAAATATTCTCTAAAGTTCTTTCTAAAAAGTCTCCAAAAGTTCCTTCTTCTAAAAGTTCTCCTGAGGTCCTCTTTTATTCCACAGGTTTCTAGTTTTTATATACACAGGCACATTTAACAATTCTCTGATGATAGGGCACGTGCATCTCTCAGCTCCAGGAAGGCGGGTAAGTTCTTGAGAAAAGCAGGTGCCTGGCAAAATTCTTGAGAAAAGCAGGTGCCTGGCAAGTGACTTTCAAACGGTCCTGGCAAACTTAAGTCTCAAGGGGGGACATGACTTGCAACTCATGCTGCTAACTGATTAAAAGGGGCTTCTCAGTGCTATATCAAAGGGAACAACTAAGGCTATGTAGTGTGAGATCCAGAGACTGCAGCTCTTACTGCTGACACCCCCGTGAGAAGGAGTTTCCTTTCTTTGGGGCCTATTTCAGAATACAAAGCACCCAGTATTTATTCTACATACAGCCAAATTCATAGTAACAAGTATTCTGGGTTTGATAACTGGGATATTAATTGCTACTTATGTAATAAATGATAAAGGCTCTCAACATAGAAGGAGCCAGAGCACTATGGGTGCTACTACCCATTAGCTGCTGGTCCGGTGCTGTAGGAAATGAGGTTGAGCAAGCCATGAGGAGCAAGCAGGAGGTACTCCCCTATACTCTCTGCATTAGTTCCTACCTCACGGTTTTTGATTTGAGTTCCTGCCTTGACTTCCTTTGATGATGGTCTGTGGTATGGATGTGTAGGCAAAATAAATGCTCCTCTCTCCAAGTTGCTAATTGACATAGTGTTTTGTAATGACAATTAGAAATCCTAATTCGGACAGCATAGCCACATACAGAAGAACATGTATGCACCCACATACATATCACCCCCCCGCACCACACACACACGTGCCAAAAATAAAAAGCAACTCATTTGAGTAAGTTCATGATCATTTTGGTTCTGGCTCTTGACTTTGTGCAAAGACACGTCTCTTCTGGGGGGATGCAGAGTCAATTCTTCAAAGTATTTTATTCTTAGATTCCTTTGTTCATTTGTGTTCTGGAGAGAGATGAACTCTTTATGAAGGTCCAAACAGGTGGTTTGGAGCAGGGAAGGTAGGTAGTGTTCACAAAACATGGCCTGTCAAGAGTCATGTAGATAAGAATGTTCAGCCTCCCCAGGTGACTAGGGTAAAGATCTAGTTGTCTCCTAAACTAGCTCTTTCCCATGGAATTACATCAAAAACTTTGCAAGCCATTTTAAATTTAAATTTGGAAATTGAAACAAACAGGGACCCTTAACATGTATCTTGTGTGACAATATATTCATAGCACTATTATTCAGTGTTCAGCATAAGAGATTAGTGGTTGAGCTACTTATATCTTGTTCCAAGACTTCAAAACTCAGCTTGTACTTTTAGCACATTTCAGTTTGTATGTTAAGGTTGTAGAAGTCGTTGCAAAATACAATTCCATAAAACAATAAAATATCTAATGCAAATAATGTAAAATTACCTTGATTCAGCCTCAAGATTTGCACTTAGGTTAATCATCAACCAATTAGGCAGAGCTCGGTTCTTAAGTCTTATAAACCAAATCTCAGGGTCCCAGCCCACAACATCTAGTACAGTTCTACATTTTCTCAGTTGGAAGCCAGATGATAGAGGCTGAAGAAAACAATTTTCTTCTGCGTTTAGCCTCAGTGTTTTCATGAACCCTATATTAGGGTTATAGAATGACTATATGTGGGAAGGGATTGGGCCTCTTATAAAGAAAAACAGGAATAGATTCACATCATTCTCTCCAAAATTCAGTTTCTATCATGTGATACAGGATGAGAAGTCAAACATGATACATGTGTCTTTCACATCTTTCGAACTACAAAGAGAGTGAACAAATGAGTGCTCACTCCTGATGGCTAAACTTAGTTTTACAGTTTTTCAAAACACATTTACTTAATTGGCATTGCCTAACTGAAATCTACATTCCAAATCAAATGTTGACCTCTAAGGTCCTGGGAAAATTAGATCTCTCTGCTGAAAGGCTCTTTGTTTGCTCTTTGATAAAATCTGCTAAAATCTATCCTTATTATCTTTCTGTATATTGTGTTAATATTACTAAGAAAGTTGCAAAGGTCATTCCTTTGGGATGTAGAACATGAAACTAACTGTGATGGCTAAAACAATTACAGCAGAAACTACACAGACAGCTTAAAAATTGCAAATTCACAAAATTCTAGAGAAAAGATAAGATTTGGAATGTAGATCACAGTTAGGCAATGCAGATTAAGTGAACAGATTTTCAAAAATCGTAAAACTAAGGGATACTCCGTGAGCCAAGACACACGGGGGTGGGCCTAGGCCTTATCCCAAAGGATACGATAGACTCTGATGACACCCTATAGAAGGCCTCACCATCCAGGGGGAGCAGAAAGGATATGGGATAGGTAGGGTTTTAGTTAGTTGTGGGGGCTGGTAGGGGAGGATGGAATGGAGAAGGGAACTGGGATTTTCATGTAAAACTATCCTGTTTCTAATTCAAATAAAAAAAGTTAAAAATTTGCAAAACTAAGTTTAGATCAAATGATTGTTATCTACCAAGTAAAATATGAAATATCTCAAAAATATTTTGACATGTCTCTGAAGGAAGTAGATCCCCTTTGGCTCCTTTATGGCCACTGAAACACTTCTGGTGTCTTCTTGTCACTCAGGACTTCCATAGTCTGCCCTGAGATGAATCTGTTGAGTGAAAGCCTCCTCTTGCATCCATGTCTACATTGGAGAAGTTATGTAGTCTTTGATCTTTTTCTGTTCATAAAACAAGGAAGTAGGACCAAGGTCAACTGAGTTCTGAAAATATTCCAACCTTCTTCAAACTGGGGAACATGACTGTGTTCATCTGGGAAAACTTTGTATCACGACTGAAAGAAATATTCACTAATTGCTTCTATTCCCTTCTAGGATCAGGACCCTGCTGCCTTTGGTTCTAACTCTCTGCTGTTGGAATCCTCAAGACATTATCTGAACATCCGTTATACTTTACTGCCCTACCTCTACACCCTCTTCTACCGGGCTCACACATTTGGGGAGACAGTAGCAAGGCCCTTGGTACATGAGTGAGTTTCTAACCAAAGCCTCCCACTCAGAGCACATGTGTTTTACTTTGCATGTGTAGCAAGGTCCATTAAGACATGTGACGTGTTGTTGTCTCTTCTTGGAAACTGTATCACCTCACTGTGAATGCACTCTGTTTTATAGGTTCTATCAGGACCAAGCCACATGGGAGGTGCATGAACAGTTCTTATGGGGGCCTGGACTCCTTATCACACCTGTGTTGTATGAAGTATGTTTGTAATCTGATTAATGGAGGTTACAGTTGTTCTCATAGCTTGATAGCTGAATAATCTCAATGCTGCATATATATGTTTGCATTTAAGTCTAAATATAAATATAAATGAGAGCAATCATGAATGCTTGGAAAATAAGAAAACAAGAATTCTTGGATCCAATGATGCATCAATTAAAACAGTTTATATGTTGCAAAATTACATTTAAAAACCATGTTCTCAGGCATGTGGCCATGTACTGACGTGGGTTTTGAATGCCTTGGTGTATGTAGGTTGGTGCATGTGCACAGACGTTGGGAAAACAGAATAGGTGTGTAGAGGAGGAAGGAGGGGAAGTGGAGTAAGGAAAAGAATGACTGTAGGCGAGGGTGAGAAGTTAGGTGTGGGAGAAGGGTTGCTATGATGCTCCTCATCTTATTTAAAAAATATTTCTGGCATAAGAATCAAGAGGAAAGATTGCTAACAGACTCATCGAGCTGGTAGTGTCTCAGATACATCTGGCTTTGCTTGACAAGTACTTTGCTCCCCTGTGGATATGATTGGCTTAGTCTACTCTGAGCTAATGGATGACATAACTTTGAGAGTGAAACTCTCTTTTTCTCCTAGAAAATGCATGAGCACAGAACTTAATTTCTAGGTACAGCTTGGCTTTGGATAAACTGTTTGGCCTTCCTGGCACCATGTGCTTTCATTGGTATAACAGAATAATCTCAAATGGCTCAGGATTATTCAAATGGCCAGGGACAATGATGTGGAGATGTTCTCCAAACTATACAGAGGTGTGTGTGCTAACATAGCTTACTGATTTTATTTTCTTAGGGCATGGACCAAGTGAGAGCCTATATCCCAGATGCCATTTGGTACAACTATGAGACTGTAAGTAAGGGGGCTTATAGTGTCTCAGAGACCTCTTCTAGCAGAGGACAATTCTAAAACAGAAGTCTTGGGAGTTCATCATAATATTTCACACAGCTTTACAATAAGTTGATTATGAGTATGTTTTGAGGCATCTTAGTCTATTCAGTGTGGTATAGTAAAGAACCTCACACTGCCTTATTTATGAACAATAGAGCTTTATTGTCCAGTTTTTGGAGGGTATAAAGTCCAAGATGGAGGTCTTCTCAACTTCATCAATAGGAGCTTCTCACTGAGTTGTCGTAACTCAACCACTTGTCCAGAGGAATTGTCTCTTAACAGTATCACATACAGCATTAGCTTCCAACATGTGAACTTCAGAGGGACGTTAACATTCACACCACAGCAGAAGACATTTCCAATAGCTGCGGTAGGTTTACAGAATCTCACTGGCTCAATCATCTCATTACTATGCTGATAATTTGGACTAATCATTTCATTAACTGTTGTCTGTGGAAGCAGAGAATTTAAGCTCAGTGAAATCAGTGTCAGTCAATGTTATGTTACTATAACAAATACCCAAGGCAATAAGCTTATAAGGAGAAAGGGTCTTTATATTTTTGCTTTCGATTTCAGAAGTTATTGTCCTGGGTTCCATTGCTTTGGGCTGGTGGCAGATTATTTCTGTGAAAGCAGGAGAAGGAACAAAACCACTCTAAAAAACAAACAAACAAAAAACTTGTGGCTACAAAGTGAAATAGAGTAAAAGGAAGAGTTCAGGACCTTACAATTCCCACTGAGAGAAAATCTCTAATGACTTAAAAACTCTCTCTAAGCCCCAGCCCTTAGAGGAACATCCAAGATACAAACTATAACATACAATGTAGTGAAAGGTAAACAAGAGGGGAGGTTGGTGTCTCAGCTCTGCTCTCTACTACGCATACATCTTGGGGAAACCTCCTCATTTTGAAGGTCCCCATTTTCTGGTCTCTAAAGTGAGGACTAGACTAAAGGATCTCTAGACTCCTTCATTCCTGCAGTGCCCTATCTGGTCTGTTTTCCTTTGGTTGCTTAGGAACTGGCCATCGAATGGAGGAAACAATTCGTAGACATGTCACTACCAGGTGACAGGATAGGGCTTCACCTTCGAGGCGGCTACATATTTCCCACCCAACAGCCAAACACAACCACAGAGTCCAGGTAAGATCCTGTCTTCTTACTACTCTGGTACTCAGTGGGGCTTCATGGGAGAGATAACCAAGGACCAAGAGTAGATGTGTCAAATGAAGACAGCTACTGTCAGCAAACTTCTCTCCATTTCAAGGGCCTCAAATTGTCTTCAGAGGGTTAAATATAGTCTCACTTTCCTTCTCAGTCTTGCAGTTTTTCTATTTGGATTAAACCAGATTATAGGAGTAGTCAAAATAATCTTCACGAGGATTTCTCTAGGGACAGAAATTATTTTAATGTGTATTCCCTGATACATGAGAAAAAATAGTAGGAGGCAAAAGTCAACATGAGTTGCAGTTTCAGGGCTCAGATTCTGGAGAATTTGAGTTCAAACTCTGGCCTAACAACATTCTCCATGCATTAGCCTTGAGCAGCATTTCTGTGATGAAGATGACAGCCTGGTCTTTTAGCACCTTTGTGAGGGTTAAGATAATTACTACGAATGACAGTACCTGGGGGCACATTCAGGAGGGTGCCTGTCATGGGGCCCTAAAAGTGTTGTTAGAATGATCACAAACTTAGTTTTCAGGCACCATCTCAGCCTGCAATTGTTCTTACATTCTCCCTTTTGCACACCCTGCTGCCTTCTCACACCTGTGTTCCCACAAAATGCTAATATCTACTCAGTTTCTGGGGTGGACTCTGGAGAATCCATCCCTATGCATCAAGGGGTAGACTCATCAAAGGGTGGATTCGTCAAGGGGTGCATTCATCAAGGGGAAAATTCATCTGTTTCTGCCTTTTTTTCATTGTCTGGAACTTGCAATTGTTCTCCTCAGCCGGAAGAATCCCTTGGGACTCATCGTTGCCTTGGACTACAAGCGAGAAGCAAAGGGCCAGTTGTACTGGGATGATGGTGTGTCTAAAGGTAGACTTTCAAATGGGACCATAGTGGTGGTTCTTAGTAAAAATTCATTACCAAAGGCTTCCCAATAAGGCACCAACCCCATTATCACTGGGGTTGTATATTTTAGTATCCTAGGAAATTTTAGTAGCTTGGAAAATTCAAAGTCATTCTGCAAGTTCCAATAGCCAAGTACAATGAATTAAAATAGACTTTGCATGAAGTCAGTCAATGTTATTGGCATGGCCAATAGAATAAATAGTATTGCATTTGGTTTCATTATTCTTTTCTGCATATCATCGTTAACACCAAGCAATCCATTTTGTTAATAGCTTAGCAAGGCACCACTTCATTTACCATTGAAAAAAACATTTCTGGTGTATGGCTTGTGTTTTTCACTCAAAGATTTGATATGAATAAAACACAGAAGCCTTTAGGCCGAATAGAATTAGAATTTGTTAATATTTGATATCTATTATTGCTCTGCATGGAAGGCACATAGAGTTGAATGTGCCATAAACATTGACCTTGACACTGTATAACAGGGTAGAGAACTGTAATGAAAATCAAAATTTTGTAAATGCTGGCAAGTAGAGCCACAGAGAACCATGTGACTTCAGAGAAAGTAGTCCATTAAGGTTCTACAAAGATTAAAACACATGTGGTTTTTGGAGGAGCAGAACTGTGTGCAGAGGAATTCCCAGTGAGGAGGTTGAAACCTCAGAGTTCCCTGTTTCCCATAGTAACAGCACATACACCTGTCTCTTTCAGGCACTGTGTTAGAAAGGAAGTACATTCTGTATGATTTTTCTGTGACATCCGTAAGTACTGTTTTCAAGAAACGCTATGTTTCATGTTTCTTAATGTGATTATGTTTTGAGGCTTTTATTTCTCTGAAATTCATGCCTATACTGCATGCTTTATTATATAAGAAATATCTGAGCTGTTTTGCAGAGTGGCTGTGTATTTTACAGTTCTACCACCAATGTGTAAGTGATGCTGTTTCTCTGTATAATTACTTGCATTTGATACTACTGTTAGTGTTTTTCCTTTTAGCCATTCTGTGTGACCATTTCATGGGACTTTAACTGCTTTTACAACTTTTCCAATGACGAATCATATGTCCTTTTTATATTATCTTGGGTGAAATATCACTTCTTTGTTCATGTTCTGATTTGGATGGTTTTTGGCATTGGCTAACAGCTCAGTTTTAATGGTTTTTAAATATCCTTCATTGAATATGTTTGCAAATACTTTCTTCTATATGTAGGCTTCTCTTTTCTTCCTCTTAAAGACTTTTACGAAGCAGACATTTAAATTTGGGGTATAATTAATTATCTTTATTTTCTCTGCTGGATTGTGTCTTTTGATGCCATTTCTTTGCCTGGCCTTAGAACCCTGGCGTTCTTTTAAGTTTTATTATCTATATCTAACTCTTTGATATATATTGGATTAATTAGTATATGTCAAACTTAGGTCAAAGTTCATCTTTTTGCCTATGTATGTCCAGGTGCCTCAGGACCTTTGTTGAAACAGCTGTTTCCCCAACTCTGTTGCTTTTGAAATCCTGTCAAATACCACAAGGGCCCATTTGTTTGGAGGGAATTGTATTCTTTGTAGTTAGTAAAATGTGCCCCTCTCCCTCAGAGTTCAGTCCCACCATCTTCTGGGCTTAGCTCACCTTTGCTGCTTTTCAACTCTCTATCTATAGATGAGTCATTTAATTTATCCGTGCTTTAGTATCTTGTGAAAAAAATGGAGATTGCGACCTCATAACTTGCTGAGTCATCCAAATGGGATATTATATGCAAGATGCTTAAGTGCAGTGTCTGGCATATATTAAGTTTTCATAAAATGTAGCCTTTGTTATTAGTACTAAAATAAAATTACAACTTACTGTGGCACTTTTGTGTGTGTGGTGTTTGTGTGTCCCTTGGGTTTTGTGTGTGTGCTTGGGTCTCTTTCTTTGCTTTGTAACTAAACATTCTTAAGTCATGATTATATTTTCTGAGTCATAGAATCAGAAAAGAGCCAGTTAACTAAAGAGAGAGAGAGAGAGAAAGAGAGAGAGAGAGAGAGAGAGAGAGGAGTTGTTGTCTGAGACATCTGTCCTGGGGGGTGATTGTTGATCGACTTAGAAAAGAAAACAGAGAATAAGGACACAGCATGGATCAGGAGAAGTTGAATGTGTACACCCAACCTCTAAAATGACTTTCTTCCTTCTCCCAGAATCATTTACAGGCAAAAATAATAAATAATAATTACGTGGATCCCAATGATCTCATGTTCACCGACATCAGAATCTTGGGAATGGATAAAGAGCCAACTGGTCTTAATGTCTTATTTAATAACAATGCCATCCCCATTTTAAGCTACAACTACAATGCTTCAACAAAGGTGAGAGGTCATTCCATCTGTAGGACTCTGGCTGTAAACCCTGGCCTGACATTCTGACAGCCTTCCTTCTCTTGCCTTCATGGAAAGCACATGAGACAATTTGGATAGTCACAGAGACAATTTTCTTGTTGAGACAGCCACCACATCATAGAGAGGATCCAGGAGAAATGTGTGCCTGCAAGTATGACTACTTCCCTTGTTGACATTAGGGCTCTAAGGAAGAGAGCAAGAGTTGGTGCCCTAAGAGGTCTTCTTTTCTGCTAATTTAAAACTAGAAAAGATGGTCTCAGATGGAATGGTAAAGATGAGGTTCAACAAATGATCCTGGTTCTTCTGGGGTGTATTTATAGTTCGTCCTTTGTTAAAGTTAGAATTACCCTTGAGACACAGTTGACATTTTTCCTTGTTGCTATTGCTACAGTCTCACATAATGTGTAAGTGGTAGAAAACATAAGCTGTACTCTGATTTAGTCACCAGTGAGCGACTCCCTTACCTGATAAACTTATACAGAGCTTATTAGTTATCAGCTCACTCACTTGAGACCTGAGAAGTTCATTGTTTCTTAAGTCTTCCACCAGAAAGTACACATAGCACAGGATAGGACTTAAACTAAGCAGAATAGGGTGCTGATTCTTGGTATTCCCTCCCCATTGTGAGAGCTATTACATCTGTATTATGGAGACAACCATAGTCCTTTAGCATGGGATCACTCAATAGAATGAATGCATGTGATGGAGAGTATGATTGTCACAGTGCTTGGCCTGGTATGTATGCTTAATAAAACCGATCAATTGATTACTTCCATCGTTAGTCACATTAGCAAGCATCGCACCAAAAGGATAATCAGCCTAAAAATGACAGCCACACTGTGATCCACACTCTTTAACATGACTAAATGGCTCACATTCCACGCTCTCACAATGGTCCCAAAAGCTTGGGAATCAAGCAGTACCAAGTATTCTAAGGTGATACTGGAGAAAGAGCTTGGTTCTGGCTTCCCAGCCATCAGTGACATTATGTCCATAGCTCTGAGTCATCTGGTTTGTCACTGGAGTTTTTTCTTTCCCTAGGTGTTGGTCATCGATAATCTCACAGGACTGAAACTGGGACAAGAATTCACCATTGAGTGGACTCTTCTGGTCAGTGACCTGGAGAAGTTTAACTGCTTCCCCGAGGATCCTGCAGCATCTGAGGAAAGCTGCAAACAGCGCGGGTGCCTTTGGGAGGTAATGACCACACTGACCAGGGAGTTGTAGACATTTTGCCCCAAGTCATGGGACACCTGGAAAGCACTTTGCAAAGGTTGATGATGTTGTGGTGGTCACGAGGATGTGATGATTTGCGTTCTGTGAATTCCATGTGATAGGAGATCTATACGTTTCCCTTAGATACCCTGCTGCATCTAAGAAGAAACCATTGCCGTTCTATTGCCACTTTAAGCATATCGGTCAAAAGATCCTATTTTTGATCTGTTTGAGAATATAAAAAAGGATCAAAAGGAGGGAAGGAGGGGGCAAGGGGGTTATGCAAGCATGAATATAGTCAAACTTTATTATATGCATTTACATAAATATCAACCGAAAACTTACCATTTTATAACTAATATATGTTAGTAAAACCATCTTACCATCACAATGTACACTGTGCACTGAATATTGAAAGTGAACAGCTTTTGTTTATTGGAAAACCTAAACAGAAAGTGTAAGTCTTGTCCAATGTGTTTGAATGATGGAGCCAATAAAAACAGAAAAAGTTAGCCTCTGCATTGGGAGCAGGACACATAAGTAGGTCCTACCTGAGGGTTATGGTGCTCAACTAGGCTTCTTGTCCCATCATCATTCACACTTCACTCTTTACAGAGAGAGAGAGTGTGTTTAATTGAATCTGGATCCTTTGCTATGGCTGCTGTAGCACTATAAACTCACTTAGAAAATAGCAATTTTATTATCCCTGGGTATAGAATCATGAATTCAGAAATCAAGGTGTTGTGACAGGGTTGGTTCCTTTTGAGGACCATGAGTGAGATCTGTTCCATTATTCACTCCTAGATTCCAGTGGTTTGTCACCAATGTTTTACATTTCTTAGCTTGAGTAAGATCTTTGCTTTCTTGACTTTATGATGTTTTCCTCAGTGTATGCTTGCCTATTTGTCTGAATTTTCTTTCCTAATAAGTACGCTAGTCATATTGGGTTAAAGTCTACCCTAATGACCTCATCTTAATTTGATGCTCTGCAAAAACCTTACCTCAAACATATCATATGCATACTACCAGGGCTTAGGGCTTATCTTTTTTTTGTAGGGAGCATCTCAACCTATTTCAAAGTTCTTGGAACCCTGTGTTAATTGACTTCTTCAGTATTAGAGTCTCAAAGTGTAGTGTAGAAGAATTCTTCCAAGAATTCACCAAGAATTCTTCCTATTGTTCCAGCACACAACTATTCCTGGAGTGCCTACCTGCTTCTACGACACCATTCCCCAGTACGCTGCCAGTAACATTCAGTACCAGCCCACAGGTATCACCATGGACCTGACCCTCCTGGCAGACTCAGCATCTGCCCGGGCAGCAGCAGCTCCAAGCATTGTTTCTGATCCTCTTTCTGGAAAGATCAGCTCTCTTAAACTGCATGTGACCTACCATACAGAAAACATGCTGCAGGTCAAGGTAATCCTCGTGTTACAGTTACTGGTTCTTAACACAGACGTTTCTGACTCAAGGCTCTGTACACATGACATCACTGAAAGACTGTTGTCAATGGCCAGGCATGCTTTAATCCCTGTACTCAAGAGACAGGCGGTTCTCTAAGAATTGGAAGTCAGCCTGGTATAAATATTTCGTTCCAGGCTAGCCAAAGCTACACTGAGACTGTCACAAACAAACAAACAAACAAACAAACAAACAAAGGCTGTTAGTGCAAATCCCTATGTTGCAGATGCAGACGCTGAGGCCTTCAGGAGTAAAAGTCAGGAAGGGAGTAGATAGTTAGTCAGGGTGTGAACGTAGATCGACCGCAGTTTTTTATCTTCTATTATTTTATTCTATTCTTCTTCTTATTCAGTATTCCACATCACACTTGTCATTAAAAAACCCAACCCATTTCCCTGAAAAGCATGAATCTGCTTTGTGGAAAATACACAGGAGAGACACTCACTTCCAACAGTTTTAGTAACTTCCCTAGTGGGAATTCTCAACCTGCATTAGTACCAACTTTAGATGCCATTAAAATTCCCCTTTCTCCTTCCTAGATTTATAGTTCCTCTAACAAGAGATATGAGGTTCCAATACCTCTCAACATCCCTTCTTCGGCGCTTGGATCCTCTGAGAACTGCCTGTATGATGTCACAGTTAAAACCAACCCATTTGGACTTGAAATTAGACGGAAAAACTCCGGTACTGTGATGTAAGCTCTGTTTGTTTGGTCCCAGTCAAATCGAATGTAGATCTAATTGCAATGTTTCTAATCACTAATCCCCAAGACAACATATAGTTATAAGCATGTTTGTCAAAGTAAACATCAATTGCTCTTGATTCTCTAGGGAATTTATTTTTCTACCAGTCATTAAATCAGAAAAAAAATGAAATATTTAAAAGACAAAAACCAGGCGGCAGTGGTGCATGCCTTTGGGAGGCAGAGGCAGGCAGGGTCATCCTGGTCTACAGAGAAGGTTCCAGGACAAACAGGACTATTGCACAGAGTAAAACCTGTCTGGAAAAACAAAAAACAAACAAACAAACAAAACAACAACAGCAGCAACAACAACAACAAAAAACACCACCAACAAAAATAACTATGTGCTATTTGACTCCAGGAAAAGAAAATACTTTGTTGTAATTGGTAACTAGAACAGATTTGATAAACATTTGATAAACATGACAGATTTTGTTTAAGTCATGAGTCTGTTCTCAGTTAAAGACCATTAAGAGGTAGCTAAGGAAGCAGGAAAGAGGGACCGGGCTTCTTAGAGTCATGGCTCCTATTCTTGACAGCTGCCCAGGATTGTCAGTCATCCACTATGTGATCTCTAGGTCTTGCCCTGCTGTTGAAGGTCTGGATTTTGCCTGAAAGGAAGTTCCCTGTCCTGTTAGAGGTTGCTATTTGCATGAGCATATGTGTTTTTTCCTGTGTATGGCTTTTGTTCATTTTCATGTATGTTCAATATTCTTTCTTTTTTAAACCAAACTCTTCCCATCCTTTTTCTTCTTTTTTTTTTACTTAAAATGTTTAATCCATTTTACATACCAACCACAGCCCCCCCTCGATCTCCTCCACCTACTCTCGTGACCTCCCCACCCCATGCTCCATCCACTCCCCAGGAAGGGTAAGGTTTCCAGTAGGGGACTCAACAAAGCCTGGCACACCAAGTTGAGGCAGGAGAAAGCCCCTCCCCAATACATCAAGGCTGAGCAAGGCAACTCAGCATAGGGAATGGGCTCCAAAAAGCCAGCTCATAAACCAGGGATAAATCCTGGTCCCACTGACGGGGGCTCCACAAATAGACAAGCTACACAACTATTATCCACATGCAGAGGACTTAGTCCGGTCCCATGCAGGCTTCCCAGCTGTTGGTCTAGCGTCTCTGAGGTCCCCTAAGTTCAGGTCAGCTGTCTGTGTGGGTTTCCAGTCATGATATTGACCCTTGTTGCACATGTAATCCCTCCTTCCTCTCCTCAGATGGACTTCCAGAGCCCAGTGCTTGACTGTGGACCTCTGCAACTGCTTCAGTTACTAGATGGAGCTTCTATGATGACAGTTAGCGTAGTCAGCAGTTTGATTAGAGGGGAAAGCCAGTTTGGGCACCCTCTCCACTATTGCCAGGAGTATTAGTTAAGGTCATCCTTTTGGATTCCTGGGAGTTTACCTAGCACCAAGTTTCTCTCTAGCCCCAACTCATCCATCCCGTTCTTCCATCCCCTCTCCTCTACACCCACCCCAGGCCCCAGTTAACCCCGGAGATCTCATCTATTTCCCCGTCCATACATCTGTCTTCAGGAAATTTCTTGCAATCTAAAATAGTTGTTCTAAGAGTTTCACATTTTTTCTATTGTACAATAGTTTTCTAGACCTCACTAATAGGTTGCCACAAGCTGATGTATCAGGCTCTAAGAACTGGGAATAAAAGGATAAATGAGTCATGGGTTTTTGTTTGTTTTGTTTTGTTTTCTCTCAAAGAGATTCCCAGTTCTCTCAATTGGGAATAAAAGAGTGAATGACACTTTTTTTTTTCTGTTAATGAGTGCATGACCTAGCAAAAGGACACTTAGTCTTGCAAACCACAGAATACAGAAGCAAACGTGGAAAATTGGAGCTGAGTTATAGTCACTGTCATGACCTGGTTCATTTCATAGCGTTTGAACAGGGATCCAGATGTCCAATAATTGGGGCCTTCAAAGTTTATTAGGCACCAAAATGTGTTTTGTGTTTTCTCTGGCCTGTGATTTATAGTTCAGCATGGCAGTCTGCTTTTGCATTGCAGTTGGGATTCCCAACTCCCTGGCTTCACCTTCAGTGAGATGTTTCTTTCCATTTCAACTCGCCTTCCATCTCAGTACATCTATGGCTTCGGGGAAACAGAGCATGAATCTTTCAGAAGAAACATGAGCTGGAACATGTGGGGAATGTTTGCTCGGGATGAACCCCCAGCGGTAAGGACAAGAATAAAATTATCAATTGTGTTCTTTTTATCCAAACATTCTAATGTCCACAAATAATTCTATATCCATCTGCTTTTCCAAGCACCAATAAATTATGCTCTTAAATCCAGAAGGGCATGTCATTTCATGCTCTTTTGCTTGTAAAACAATTAATTCCTCTACTCCTGTGGAACACAAGTTTTATTTATTTTATCAAATATTACACTAAGTGCTCATCTGAAAATTTAATGAGATATTGTCTATGCCTTGCAAAGATTTATAATGCTGGGGAAGACAGATAATAAAACAATGATAGCATAGTGTAATCAATGCTAAGATAGATTTATGTAATAGTAAAAGGGGCACAGATGTGGAGGGCACAGATTTTTTTGCTTGTGGTAGAAGACAAGGTCAAGCAAGGCTTTTTGAAGAACATCACTGGTGAGTTCAATCTCCAAAGTCAAATACGAGTTCACTGCTTGCTTTGTGATATAGATGCAATTTATTGAGCTTTTATTTGCAATTACCTTACAGTTCTTTCTTACAGTACAAGAAGAATTCCTATGGTGTTCACCCTTACTATATGGCATTGGAAGATGATGGCAATGCCCATGGAGTGCTCCTGTTGAACAGCAATGCCATGGGTAAGAGAGACATACACACTCATATGCCATCGTAGACAACCACTCTGTTGGAGTCTAGGATGTTACAGAAATAAGAACATTCAAGGGCAAGGAAAATTGGATACAATGGCTTTCACTCATTCATCTATTAATTCAAAGTTTATTAAATTTTCCACAGCACATATTAAATGTAAAATTTTAGCTGTCCATGGTCCCTTATTTTCTGTAACGCTTTTGCTTCTATTCCCTAGGGTGGCATAAGGTGAGATTGCATATTTTATTTTAGGGAGATGGAATCTGTCTTGGTCCCACTGCCTCAGAGAATACTTTCCAGAGGAGGGCCATTCTAAAAGTGAGAGCGAGCATGGAAAAGTTTAGGATAGATTCTCCATCTGGGTAATTTATGGCTCCTCACCAATTGCTCTTGTTCTAATCTTTACAGATGTGACATTGCAGCCTACCCCGGCCCTGACATACCGAACCATAGGAGGGATTCTGGACTTCTATATGGTTCTGGGGCCAACACCTGAGCTTGTAACTCAGCAATACACACAGGTGGGAAGCCTGTCTATTCATTGATAAACCATCATGTATTTGTTGCATAGTGCTACCATGTTCTTAACACTGAAATATGATCCTTTTTGTGGTTGGGCATTGGTGGCACAACTCTTAAATTCCAGCACTTGGGAGGTAGAGGCAGGAGGATCTCTGAGAGTTTGAGGCCATCCTGGTCTACAGATCGAGTTCCAGGATAGGCTCCACAGAGAAACCCTATCTTGAAAAACCAAAAAAAAATTATAAATAAATAAAGACAAAAAAGATTCTTTTACTCACTGGTTTTCTCGCTAGAGGAGTGCTGTGTTAAAAGCGTTCAAAGAGCTTTACATTTTTCTATTGGGCAGTGGTTTTGTAGACCTCATTCATATGTTCACTCAAGCTGACACACCAGACTTTAGTGTTCTGAGGTACTGTCAGCCTACTTTGTATCATAATACATAATAGCCTATGTGTCCCTTGGTCACATGCTCAGCAGTCTACTCAAGAGTCTCTGATGAAGACTAACGATGGAGGTCTCAGGCTTTCTGGATGAATGGCTAAGTAATGGGAGGAAACCCTCAGCCACAGTGTTTCTGTGCTTTACCTCCCTGGTTCCTATTTTGACTTCCTTATTTATCTTGAGTGAGTGAGAGCTTTTAGAACTCAGTAGAACTGTTCAAGTTTCTTCCTTAAGAAAGAAGTCCAGTAGGATTTCATTTATTTCACTTAGACTGTTTTAAAGAAATATAGACTTAAGAAAAACCAATACAGACTTTTAAAAACAATTATGGTGTGTGACATGGTGATTTAGTGAATGTATGCAACATGTAAGGATGAAATTATGGTAATTAGCATTTGATTTTTATTACAGTTGATTGGTCGACCCGCCATGACTCCATACTGGGCTTTAGGTTTCCAGCTGAGTCGCTACGGATACCAGAGTGATGATGAAATTGCCAATTTGTATGATGCAATGGTGGCAGCCCAGATTCCCTATGTATGAATCTCTCCTGCTTCTGTTTTTTTTTTTTCTTACTTATGTAATGAAAACAGGTGCATACAAATTAAAGCTGGGGTTAGTTCAGTAGAAGAAAAGTAGCTATGGAGATTGTCTTTTGTAGAATTCTTTACATTTCAAACACACTGCATGCCCCACCTTGATTTGCATGGTTCACAACTAAGAGATGCATTTGCATCCTTCAGCAGGCAGTGGGTTGGTTGCAGGATACTGGACCATTATTACTTGCCATTGGGAATAGTTTGCAGTAGCTATGAATTGCTCAAGTCTTGACAGTATTACAGGAAGCAGTTACAGATCTAGACTTTGATTTCTTTGAACATACATGTGCATATCCTATAATCAAGCTCCCCAAGTCAATCCTGAGAAACATAGTTAAACGCTGTGCATTAGCAAAGATGCACATGTGTTCTCTCTTTTTGTATAATTGTCAGTTTTGCAGCACTCCTCCTTCTTGGCTTTTAGATCATCTGCTAAGATCTTGTAGAGAAATTAAGAGCTATAAAATGAGGATAATGTGATCTCACTGAAGATAATTTGTCACTTATATACAGGCTGCACTTTTCTCCTTTATATACATTTTATGATATTCATGTTGAAAAGAGATGAGAAAAATATAAGAAGATTGCAAGAACAAAAAAATCTGTGGATTTAATTTACACAAGCTATCAATGCTATTAATATGTTAGTTCATTCTTGTCTTAGTTTTGGCTTTTCTACTAGTCTGTTCTTCTTTAAACGCAGTTCACTCACAGTCCTAAGGTGGCACAGGTGATTAACACGCTAGGGTTAAAAAGATGCAGCTTGCTTTCTTCTTTCATCTGAATATTGACTACTTCACCTGTTGTTTAGTACTCTGGCATTGACCAACTTCCAAGTGCAGAAACCTTCTTGGAGTTGTGTAGAAGCAGCAAAACGTAAAAAAATATACTGTACAGTTAATAAATTCAGTGAGATTTACCACAGAAACAAACAACGGCCACATCTACAATCTGTTGTTTAGGGAGTTTTACTATCTGTCCTTGAATGAACTTTGATGGGCTCACAGGGTTAAGATCTGAAGGGTTGGGAGGAAGGGAATTGAGGGAGGGGAAGGAGAGAGGGAACAATAGTTGACCAAACAGTTGAAAAACATGGACAAGGGAGCTTTCCGTGAGGATCGGAAAGCAAGTTCAGCACTCGGAATTGAAAATGTGTGCATAGAAGTGTGTTAGGCGATGGGACTTAGGAGGAGTCTGGCCTGGTTAGCAGAATGCCTGCCGCAGGACACTGAGCACCTTGTCTGTTGTTCCCTGTAGGATGTCCAGCATGTAGACATTGATTACATGGACCGGAAGTTGGACTTCACCCTCAGCCCCAGCTTTCAGAATCTCAGTGTCCTGATTAATCAAATGAAGACAAATGGCATGAGGTTTATTCTCATTCTGGTAGGTATTATGATAGGCTTTTGGTTTCTGTCTTTATGGTTCCAAAATAATACCACTGGGAGAAAGTGGATGACAGTTACAAGAAACCATCTTGTACATTTTGGTAATTTTATGAGAACACTTAAATATATATTTATAAAAAATAAGCAAATGAAGTAGGAAAGAAAATTGAAAATTGCCTTAAAGAAGTAAAATGTCGTTTTATTTTTTTTTATACTGTGCAGAAGCCATTTACTGATATTTTTCTCTTGCTAAAGTTAAAACTGTGGAAGAACACTGAGTGTAGCAAATAAAATGCTGTCCTGCTTCTGGCCGTGCCTCAGGGATACAGCTTTGTCTCAGGGATACAGCTGGGCCTCAGGGATACAGCTTTGTCTCAGGGATACAGCTGGGCCTCAGGGATACAGCTTTGTCTCAGGGATACAGCTGGGCCTCAGGGATACAGCTGTGTCTCAGGGATACAGCTGGGCCTCAGGGATACAGCTTTGTCTCAGGGATACAGCTGGGCCTCAGGGATACCGCTGGGCCTCAGGGATACAGCTGGGCCTCAGGGATGCAGCTGGGCCTCAGGGGCACAGCTTGGTCTGAGGGGCGCAGCTGTGTCTCAGTCTCGAATCTTCCCAGGGAAGAAGGGGATGTCAGAGACCACCTTGGTCTTCTCCCTGTGCAGTCAGTCTGTCATGTCCATTGGTGTCCTCCTTGCTCAGCTCATGTTTGTCAGTCATGTTGGAAAGACTTGATGGGTGTAGCTCCTGGTGTTACTAAGGACACAACCTCACAGCAAAGTTCCTGGTCCTCTGGTTCTTACCGCCTGCCTTTCCAGCCCTCTCCTGCGGTGTTCCCTGAGTCTTAGGTGTGCGGGCGTTTTGTAGATGTGTCCACTGGGAGGGTTGGAGGAAGGAAAGGGAAGGGAGGAGTGTTGTAGCTAAAGTACAGTCTCCAAAGACTTGACCCTCCTGCCTGCCAAAACAAAAACAAAACAAAATAACAACAACAAGAAGAAACACAAACAAACAAACAAAGTTTTGGAATCATCCTCAGGGAATTATTGATGTTTCACTGAACTCACAGGCAGATGCAGAATGGCTTTTGTTACTTGTTAATTCAAGTATCTGTTGAACATTGGTGTTTGAAGTTCATTATTGAGAGGATGGATTCTAAATTAGTAAATAAGACAACGTTTTTTCTTAAGGAAGCATTTGTTTTAGTGGATTGAGGCAATCAAGAAATAAATGTTAGAAATACAATTTCAGAAAGTGATGTTTTGTGTGATAATTATGAACCAGCATGACATAGACAGGAGCTGGGTCAGCCCGAGATGCAGGAGGTAGGAATGGCCACATGAGATGTAAGTTGGGCCACAGAAGAGAATAAAGTTTGCTTTCCTAAGGAGTACCGCTATTACACAGTGGAAATGTAGTCCATGGTCCCTCCTCTTAAAGGTAATGTCCTACTAGTCTGGCTTAACCCTAGGAATTGTTTCCAAAATATAACTCTACAGAATTTATGGCTAACCATCAATGTACTCTTTTATTTCTTATTTTGCATCCCTCTCTTCCTTTTTAAACTGATTTGTGTGTGACTGGAAAAACATTGCTCATGACATGTTCTTTCTCAGGTTCTGTAAATCCCACCCCATTACAGCTCTGGGGAGGTACTTTTATAATCTAGAAAGTTTCGTTTGTTTGACAGAGATTTTTATTCTCTTTGAAGGAGATTGCCCTTAAGAACTATGTATCTTCTTTTGGGTGCCTGTGGCAATATTCTATTTTGCTGACTTGGATAACATACTCAGTAAAGACATGTCTAGTTAAAAAATATTTAATATTACTTCTTGGGTCACTTATTCTTTCTGCGCTATGAATTGTCAGTTTTTGGAGTGTAATTTCCTTGGAGATGTTTCACTCATATTTGTGATTTGTAAAACTGTCATTACAGGACCCGGCCATTTCTGGCAACGAGACACAATATCTACCATTTACTCGAGGACAAGAAAACAATGTGTTCATCAAATGGCCTGACTCCAACGACATTGTCTGGGGCAAGGTAAGGCTTGAGGAAGGTACCTATATTCATCAATTTACCTCACTGGGTGTTCCTATAAATTCTGTAAGTATATGCTGGATACTGGATACATTGCAAAACAAGCAGTCTTACTGCTGCTACCTAGCACAGTAAGCATTAGGCCCAAAGTTACAGATCAAATTCTCTAAAACATGGAATGCTGTCACTGCTTACAAATATTCTGATATCCCCACTGCTCATTTATATTTAAATAAATATATTATATTTATATTTAGTGTGATGGTTTTTAAAACAAACATTAGCTGGGTGGTGGTGGCTCACACCTTTAAGCCTAGCACTTGGGAAGCAGAGGCAGGTGGATCTCTGTGAGTTCGAGGCCAGCATGGTCTACAAAGTGAGTTCCAGGACAACCAGGGCTACACAGAGAAACCCTGTCTTGAAAAGTAAAAACAAACAAACAAATAGAACAAACATTAATAATCACCCAGGATGCTGAGTTCTGTCTCTACCACATAAACTCAAACAAGCATTCAGCTTTTACTGATGATGCTTAATCAGACTTTAAAAAAAAATCATTAACTCTATCTTGTCACTTTGGGTCCTTTCTGTGGCCTCAATCTTCATCTTATGTGGGATGTCAATAATTTTGGTAGACTTCTGGCCCCCAGATGGTAGTAGCTCCCCCTTCCTAAACCTACTATGCTCCTGCCTATCGTCTTGTATATGTGGCCTGACCATTTTGAACTTTGCCTTCCCACCTAACCCACTGGGCTTGCCCTTCAAAACATGAACTGACACATTAACCTCTTGTGAAGTGCTCAATAAGTGGTTTAGATGGTATAGGGAGTGTTTCTGTATCGCTCCCCATACTAATTCTGTAAGAATTCTGTGAACTCTGAGAAAGCAAGCACTATTTCCTACTGTCTCTGATGATTTATTGATGTATATAACTAATGTACTGCTAACTACAAATAAAATTGATTAATACTATAGATTGCTAATGCTACATACACTATTCAACAAGTACTGATACTGCTCGAAATGTTGAGAACAAGCCTGAAGGATTGAAAAGCTTTCATGGAGGAGAATGTTGTTGCTTTTAACACAATCTCAACTGTTTGATTTTACCAGTAACAACTTGGGAGACAGATGCTGTGGTGAAAGCTAGCTAGCTCAGAGAGGCAAAGGAAGCACCCAGCTGACCTTCCTCCTCAGCTGACATCCTAGAAAACTCTGTTCTATATTCTCAAACAACTCTCCCCAAACTCAATGTCCCTCCCCTGTACTTCCTGTGTGTCTGTCTGTCCTCCTGACTCATTCTTACTCTCTATGCTTTTTTTTTTCTTAATAATCCTATGTTCACTTCCTGTCAACTGGTTGCTTGCTCCACCTCTTTGGTCCTGTTAACAATATTCAAGCAGAAAGCTCTTGGATTAAATGTGTGTGATAGTATTGAGCCACCTCACAACTAGAAACAGGTTTTTCCAGTAAATAACTGGATCTCAGGTTTCACAGTTTGATCAAATACCCTGCAACAGTACGTGGTAATGTAGGAACTTAGGAGGGTCTGGCCTTGGTCAGACAGCAAGGTGGATTGTCAATCAATCATTTCTTTAACATCACATTTCACATTTATTTGTAAAGAATAGGTAAAAATAAAATATAGACTAGAGCCAAGGAAGGACTCATTTGAAATATTATCATGCAAACGATATGCTTAAAATGAAATTTGTTACTTGAGTTCAAAATAAAAAATGTGAGAACTTACTGAAAAAGTAAGGAAAGCCAGGTCGTCGTCACCTGAGTGAATTCTATGCATTCATCCTTTACACTTCAATTTATGACAAAGATGGAGGCATTTGAAGAGTTGCCTCCCACTAGAGCTTTGCATGTGAAAAGCTCACGGTATGTGTGCAGTGAGTTTTAAAGGTTTTGATTTTCTTCTTATTTGTCTAGGTTTGGCCAGATTTGCCCAATGTAAATGTGGATGGATCCCTTGACCAAGAGTCTCAAGTTAAGGTAAAGTTGATCAGAGGCATTTGGAAATATCACCCTAAATATCTGAATGCTATCCACGAATGCTCTTCGTGGATGAGCTGCTTTCCCTTTCTGGCTAAGTAGCTCTGACTTGAGTCTGCTTGCCTTGTGGTCAGTTTTAGGAGAGGAAATGCACAAAGGAAAAATGTGATAGGCAACCAAAATGGAAGGACATAAAAAGAAAATTACCATGAAATCCCTTATGGATGCATTTAATAGCTGTGATTCAAATATAATGTTGCTCAAAAACAGTGAACCAATGTCTAGACTATTTTCCCTAGAAGGGAACTAGAACAAGCAAATAGTTTGATGAGTTCCTCGAGGACCAAAGACATCACTAGCAGGCTGGATGGAGGAAAGTCCTTGGTTTTGTACCTTCTGCCCCATCAAGTCTACACACTTGGTCGCAATGCAGCTCATTTTTCCTGGAATGGCAGATAGGACCTCCTTAGTTTGGCCAGTCTAAAAAAAACAACATATATTTACAGTTTAACTGTTTAGTTTTCTATTGTCCACAGTTAATATCTAGTCATAAAACAAGTACTACGCTTAGAGGAGGCTTTAAATCTACCCTGCCTCTTCCTAAGAGATTAGAGGGCGTTTCCCCCTCCCTCCAACTTTGTCCAATCTAAACTCTGGAGCAACAGCAGCAGCAAAACCAAGGTTAGATCAGCGACTGGACAGGCCTGAATGCTTGCCCGTTTCCCCTTTTGTCTTCAGTACTCCCCTTCCTGGATAGGGGGCGATCTTCCTATGAAATCTCGTGTTGCTCTTCCAGCTATACAGGGCCTATGTTGCCTTTCCTGACTTCCTGCGCAACAGCACGGCTGCATGGTGGAAGAAAGAGATAGGGGAGATCTATTCAAATCCCCGGGAGCCAAAGAAGAGCTTGAAGTTTGATGGGCTGCGGATTGTAAGTGCACCTTCAACTCTTAGGACACATGAGCAGTCAGAACATAGGGAGTCAGTTTATAAACTGTCACAGTGGGCAGCTAGCGCCGATAGCTGAAAGGAAGGGAATTTAGTGTCTAGAACCAGGAATAGCAGAGAGTATTGCAGGCCTGCCCGGGGACGTGTCTGGTAGAGGAGTCCACTGAGGAAGCACGTCAGCTGCTGAAGATGTTAATACGTGGGCAACAGGGAGGAGCATCCTGGCAACTGCTACCTCCGATGGATCAGTCTCTCGACTTTGCTTTCCAGCTATCAAATACAGTCTGAAGCCTGTAACTACATCCAGAAAGACAGGGCAGACCCGGGAATGGACAAGGCATGAAATTGGATTTGGGAGCCAAATGACATTCACTATCGGCCTAGTGTAGACTACTCTGAAGAAATGTCTCTCAAAGCCTGTTGTAATGTGTGTTGCACAGGTTTTCAGGGCAGGGATTCTGGGAGGTCTCTGGGAAAAGTCTCTAAGGACTCCTCTGTTTGCATCTTCCTAGGGTGGGGAGCACCTTCCTTAATGTCATGGTTTCCTCCCCACATCTAGTCATCTGAAATCCTAGGCAAGTTCCAGTCCAGCTCTGAAGAGCTGCTAGATCCTGGGTCAGAGTAGAAGAATCTCACAGTTCACATAGAGACAAACTTAAGAGTCCTGTGGCTGCTTTGTGGCTTCACTGGCTACTTGAACCTTCAGGCCAGACAAGCATATTGTAGACTTGGCAGGAGAACACAAATTAATCCAAACAGGTAAGTCAGACACTGAAGAAGTGGAGACAGTTTTGAAGAAGAGGTTCTGAAAACTATGAGATGCTTTCTCTAATTGAAAGAAAATCCCAAACACTGTATAGTTAGTCCCAAATGCTTTATATTGCCTGCAGTCTTATTTAATACTGTCTTATTTGAGACACACCAATTTATTTTTACTTTACTGGCAGACAATCAACATTCCCTCAGGGCCTCTACTTCTTGCACTTGAGCTATACATTCTGTAATGTGTGGATTTATTTGCAGCCTTGCTTCTGAGTTATTACAATGGCTTAGGTTATATCCAGCCTGTGCCAGTCCCAGCATCATTTCCAGGTTAGGGCCATAAGAAAAGGTAGAGAAAGATCATAATGCTCACTGGCTACAGATATAAAGTAAACAATCTATGAATAGAAAAATAAAAACAGGCTTGCTGGGTAGGGGGATAGATTGAGATATTTCATTAAGTTCAGAGTCTAATATTACCTCAGTGTTTTTGCTAGGATGGCAGAACCTTTATAAGTTTGAAAAGGCCAGGGAAACTGGAAGGAGTTTTGACTTCACCAAGCTGACGTGGGGTTTTAGACCCTACCTTGATCCTTGTCAAGCATAAAGATGGTTAAAGGTCATTTCTTTGAGGTTCGTGTTCTATGTGGTAATGACATGCTGCCCCTGAGTTGACAGCATCTTTTCTTTGCTTGCTTACCTCAGGACATGAATGAGCCTTCAAACTTTGTGGATGGATCTGTCAAGGGCTGCCGCAACGAAATTCTCAACAAGCCTCCCTACATGCCATGTATGATATCTTTCCTGTTCAAGACCCTCGTCCTCTTTATTCTCATGTGAAGCCAAAAGTTTTGGAGGGGAAGGGTAAACATACTCTCAACACTGCATGAAATCCACAAATAGAATATCTTTGAACATATTCAAATTAAGTATAAAATTAGTAATTAAGTATAAAAATAATGTCATGTGCCATAAAAGAAGCTAAGTGGTGCACTTGGTTGTATTGATAAGTATGAATTTATTGCCAAAGTTTTAAAAACACCTCTCTATATGCATGCTTATCCCTGACACACATGTTCTTTTGATTAGAGTATGAAAATCTAGTCCCTAAACTTTCCAGCCTGTTCAGTTCAAACACTTCATGAAAGGCACTGTTCGGTGCTAACTGAACCAGAAACTGGAATAAGAGGCTGTGGTCAAAGACATCTCAGAATATTGAGTCCTTTCGCCACAAAGAAGTCCAAGGAATGAAGTTCCTAAAAAAAAATTACATCAACAACTAGAATCTGTGTTTCTTAATGTCTAGAGTATTGGTCACATCTCCATCCTTATCCATCCATCCATCCATCCATCCATCCATCCATCCATCATCCATCCATCCATCCATCCATCCATCCATCATCCATCCATCATCCATCCATCCTTATCCATCCATCCATCCATCATCCATCCATCCATCATCCATCCATCCATCATCCATCCATCCTTATCCATCCATCCATCCATCCATCATCCATCCATCCATCCATCCATCCATCCTTATCCATCCATCCATCCATCCATCATCCATCCCACCATCCATCCATCCATCCTTATCCATCCATCCATCCATCATCCATCCATCCATCCATCATCCATCTACCTCTTCCTCCCTAATTTAGTGTTTGTCAGTCAAAAGCTGAGAAGCCAGAAAGATTTAGAAACATCAATACAGAAGTAATCGGAACAAAGTTCTATTTATTCCCTTGAGAACATTACCATCTAGTGGAAGAAACAGTCCTAACAACAAAGGAGTTTGTCACCGTGAGAAATGAGCTGCTGCACTGAGTTAGAGTTGGAGCAAAAGAGGATGCTTCGCTATGCAGCCTGCATGTTCTTCTTAGCTTTAACTAATTACAAAATCACAGGACATTGTCTTTTTACCTTAAAAATCTCAAGCAAAGAGACCTTTTATGATAGACATGTCAGCATATAAATCAATGTCTGGAAAATAACTCAGTATTTCTCCCTCAGATTTGGAAGCCAGGGACAGGGGCCTGAGCAGCAAGACTCTGTGCATGGAGAGTGAGCAGATCCTTCCAGATGGCTCCCGGGTGCGGCACTATGATGTGCACAGCCTGTATGGGTGGTCCCAGACCAGACCCACCTATGAGTGAGTATGCTTTTGTTAGCAAAGAGAAAGACATCGGGAATTAAGCTATATTTCCACTACAGGCATAATTTATAATTTTGTTTGTGAGAATCCTAGATATTTCAGGTTCACGTATGAGAAAGCAATGAGGTTCTTTCAATTCAGGGGTCATATTTTTTAGGCCTTAAGCTTGGCCCATTGCTATCTCATCGTCTTGTTCAAAATACTTCTCTATAGAAGGAGTATTGTCTCTAAGTAAATTTTGTTAATTGGACTGGAAGTCTTGACTCTCATCCAAGTTAAGCACCTTTACCCTCCCAATGTCCCTATAATTTCTCTATCTTTCTATACCACCATCCATTCAGCAATATGACAGATCATATTTTTCTTTAGTTAGAATGCTTTCTTTAGTTCTTTGACTATATTTATAGTATCTTATGTAAACCCATTCTCTACCAAGTCTCTTCAACAATATTTTTTATTGGCCAGTTTCTTTCCTTACACTTTCTGTTTTAATTTTTGAGTGATTTGTTTGTTGTTATTATTGAATATTGGACATTTCTAATACTAGATTAAAGCTCTCACTCTGCCCATGGGGCTGACTGGATTCTGCAACCATTGATTGTCTCTTCCCTGCTCCCTCTCAAAGGAAAAGTGTTTTCTCTGCTCTTTGAGAGAGGAGGTGGTTCTCCTTACTTGAACCCAGGGAGCCTTGTTGAAAACTGGTCCCACTCTCCTTCAGAGCCTGTTCCCTTCCCTCCCTATTGATTGCATTCCAAATTCATACTCTTGGCCTTGTGGAAGACATTCCTGATTCACAATCCCACAAATCAGCTTTTTAAAAAAGATTTACATCTTAAAGGGGCAGAGAGAAAAAAATTTCTAGTGTAGGCTTAAAAGAAATAAAGAAAGAAAGCAAACTCCAAGAAAGTCAGTTCAAAGGCTTAGAATCTGGAAGGTGAGTGTCTTAATGAAGCCCACTCCAGTCACGATGAATGCCTGGCCTCTAAGTCCTTTACTACTTGGCAAGGTGATAAAGTGCTTGCAAATTTAAGAGAAGAAATCACAGCTTCTGGCTGCCCTCCAGCTCAGCTGCTGCCACCTTCTTTCATGGCTCTTCTCTGGGACTGAACAGGAGCCTGGGCATGAGTAAGGTTTAATGCTCAGTAATATGCATTCCTTTTATAAAGTTCTCTACGCTTCTAATCCTCCAGGAATTGCTTTGAAAATCTGAGCCAAATGTTTTAGCTCAGCTGAAATCACGGTCTTAGCACCCATGAGGGTGCCAGCACAGTGCTGAAGTTTTGACAACTAATTCTTTAGACATGGGATTTTTTTTTTTCTGAATTCTGATCTGAGTTCTGAGTCAAAACCCGTAGTGACGGTCCCCTCGGAATAGACATTATCTACAGGACTGAAGTTAGAATGGACTATTGATATGTTTAGGGGAGACTGCTTTTAAAAGAGCTGGAAGTGAGTTCACCCTGCTGGCTCTTGGTGACTGTAGGGTTACCGGGGAATGGGCTGAGATGCAAGGAGCCTTAAGGGAGAGTGTTACAGACTTCACTGTCTTAACAAGATTTAACACTTTCTTTTGGGAAGATGATTTTTAATTCCTTTATTGACCAGTGACTTCTGAGTTCTGAAATGGTTGCTTTCAGTGGTTCTGCCTGTATAGTTTATTGTTTTATTTGAAGATATATGAATATATCTCATATATATATATTCACTAAGAACCCCTTTCATGCAGTAAGTTCCGTGCAATCTAAGTACAGCAGTGATGGCAAAACCCCCACTTCCCAGAGTCATGAAAATCTCCAGGTTGTTTAGGGTTTTTTTACAGGACAAAATGGTATTTTCTACTCTTACACTCATTTCCATTCAAGGTCTCTGAATCCTCTGCCCTCTGTTCCTCTTCTCAGGGCTTAGAGGAACCTAGGGTATTTTGCCATGAGCCATTCCAGGTGAGGATATCACCGATATCATGGTCTTCCCAGCAAAATTCTTGTTACCTTTTCTCCTTTTGTCTTCGTTTTTCAGTTGCTCTTTCGTAATATCACTTCATTGACCCAGCTCTGGGTTCCTCTCGTTAGATATAAAAGCTTGGGATGACGAAGAAAGAGACTACAACTCCATCTGAAGTGTTTGGGCGAGGCACACCTTCACTCTTGATCTAGAGGGTGTGCTCACTCCTGAGCACACTGGGTGCTGTATAAACTGACTCACAACTGATCAATGGTGGTTAAGGGGATGATTTTTTTTTTTGTAGATATAAGAAAGAACAGCCAGAGGCATCTGGAAGAGTTCAAAACAAAGAGAAAATCAGACAGGACATAGCCAGGGCTAGAGAGGTAGAAGAGAATAGTGGAAATAGCTAGACAGAAAGTAACATGAGAGGTGAGAACGTGAGAGAGCAGAGAGAATAGCGGGGCTCTAAGAAGGATGAGTAGCTGGGGGGAGGGAAGGACCAGAGGCTGGTGTGGAGAGGTGAAATGTATGACAAATACTTGTGAGTGGGGACTGAGGGGGCCTGGAGGCCAGCATGGACCTTGATATGCTGACAGGTGCCGCAGGTATTTGCTAATGCCACAGCCACATGTCCCTTTGTCAGAGGCACGGAAATGGCTCCTTTTAGTAGAAGGGAACCAGTTTCACAAGGTCCTGAGCAATTCTGGCTTTTATCCACCTGCTAGCAATCCTCTGGTGGTCCAGGTTGAGCTCATTTCTGGATATTTGGACTGCCTTTTAGAGCTTGGGGAATTGGAGTTTCCTTTGGGACTGACAAGCAGGAAGCACACTTGGCTTTTATTCTAATTCAGGTGTATTGTGTCTTTTCTCGGTGGCTGTGGTCCAGGCTCACAGTCATTCTTGACTGGATAATTAAAAAAAAAAAAAATAGCCCTAAAGGAAATGAAGAAAAGGGGAGGAGGTGGTTTACCCTAAGCACCAAGAATACACAGGGACCTTTGTGTAAACCAAGGGTTTACTGGATGGTGGCTGGGAGGGGATTAAAACACTTGCATTAAAGTCTTACAAGGAGGGGGATTTGAATTCTTTGTCATAAACACCAGCTTTACTGTGTTCTATAGAAAAGATTAATATTTAATGTTTCTTGCACTCTGACCACCAAGCAGAAACTGATTGTTCCAGAAAACAAGCACTTATCTCTTCCTATGAAATAGGAAAATAGGCATTTTATATCCTCAAGTGTAACCTTAAACCTCAGACCTCCAGGAGGATAGATGAGAGGGAATCCTTTACTGTCAAGGAACCTCTCCTCTGTTTGGAAGAGCTAAACAACTGGAAGGAAAACAGACAATCCAGGAACATTTCCTGGAAGAAGTGACAGTTGAGCGGTTCCCAGAAGAGCAGGATTTTCTCTTGTCAAGAGACAGGGCTTGCAGAGCTCAGCCTGCAGCATGGAGAAGACAGGAGCCATTGCTTTATTTTCCCGGCAGAACCTTCTCCTTGTCAACTTTCCCTTTCCCCACAGGGAACCCTTATCTGTCACAGGTCCCATCTCCATCTCCTCCCTCAGAGAAGCTCAATCTACAAATCATCTTTAGTGGGTGTAGCAGGCTTTCTTGGACCACCAGCCCCCAAATATGACGTGAAGACGCACTGTTAGTAATTATGAATGCTCTGCCTTAGATTAGGCTTGTCTGTAAGGGACACCGTAACCAAGCCACCTAAGGACTGGCCACAGGTGTGCCTGACCACGCCTGCGAGGGCGTGGTCAGGGTGACGTGGGGGAGGTTTAAGAATGAGGGGCATACAAGTGAAGGCCCTTTCTTCCTTTCTGTCATCAGCTTGTTTTATTTACTTTGTGCCCTGCCGGCAGGCTAGGTTGCTCTGTAAGTAAGGCATCTCCCTAATAAATATCCTTATATTTTTACCTGATTCCATATTGGTAATTCCCACATTACTTGTCCTAGGTTTTTTTTTTTTTTTAGCTTAAATTAACCCATTTCTAGTAATCCATGTGCTGCTCGGAGGCCCGTTTACCTCATCTTTGTACTGTCCATCCTGTTCTCTTGCTTCCTAGGCATCAATAGCTAGCCCCCAGCTGGTAGGCTCTTCTTTTCTCTCTGCCTGCCAGGCCTGCCTATCCCTCTTCTGCCTGGCGATTGGCTATTCAGCTTTTTATTAGACCAATCAGTTGCCTTAGCCAGGCAAGGTGAAACAACAACACCTTTTTCCATAGTTAAACAACTGCAGCATAAGCAAATGCAGAGCATCTTTATATAGTTAAACAAATATTCTATTCCACAGCACAGGGAAGCTTGTTCCTCTATGGATTAATTACGTTTGTTTCCTTCCTTTCCGTTTGCTGTATTGGTTAAATTTGGGTCTTGGTTTTGCAGTGGTTCACAGTCGTATTGCCTAGTTAGCAACTTCCTAGTTAGCCACCAACCCAGCACCTCCTGGGTTATAATTGCCATTAAATGACAAAATGAATCCATAAATGCTTGGAGTTCTGTGAGCACTTAGCAGTGTTTCTTTTATTTTTCCCGTTTCATGAGAACTGGAACTTGAGCTGCTCTTGACCCACATCCCCCTCAAACATTAATATTCATACACATATAAATATATATCCATTATATTATGTGTAACATTATATATATTTACACACACACACACACACACACACACACACACACACACACACACACACACGCTCTCAAGTATAACCTTACCTCAGACCTACAGAAGGATAAATGAGAGGTAATCCTTTACTGTCAATGAGCCTCTCTTCTGTTTGGAAGCGCTAAACAACCAGAAGGAAAAGTGAGAAACAAACAATCCAGGAAGACTTCATGGAAGAAGTGACAGCTGAATGGTTCTTAGAAGAGTGTTTATGAGTTATCTATATAAAACTCGTGTGTGTGTGTGTGTGTGTGTGTGTGTGTGTGTGTGGTTGTTGTTGTTGTTGTTGTTGTTGTATTATGGGAGCTTATAAGACTATACTCTTAAACCTCCATGCTTCTTATACACCTTAATGTTTTCTGCTTTATCAGTCACCCATGCTGACCATACAGACTCTGTCTGGACTGACCTTTCAACATACACAGTGAAGCCCAGCTTAACCCTGCTTCCTCTATAAAATATTTTTAGACTCTGTTCACTTACCTGATGACCTTATGGAAGGACCCAGAGTTTGGAGGTTCTGTACTTCTAAAGGCAAGAATGTTTTGCCTATTTTAAAAATTAAATTAATTTATTTTTATGTGTGGAGAGAGAGAGAGAGAGAGAGAGAGAGAGAGAGAGAGAGAGAGAGAGAGAGAGAGAGAGAGTGTGACAGGTGCCATGGTGTGCCTGTGAACTTTTATTCCTTTTTTTGTGAGATTCCTTCCCTTTTTCAGGCTCTCAGTGCATTTGTGGGCCAGAGATCTTTCAGTGAGTGACTGTTCACTGGTGCCCACTGGTCTGTGATGCTTTATTTATCAAACATTTGTATTGAAAACACACTAGAGTCATTCTTTCGCTCCACTGGCCCTTCTTTTTCTGTCACATAGTTTATTTTTTCTGACTATGGGTACATAGATAAAAACCATGTGTTTTCCTGCGTGCGGAAAACATACTCTGCATTCTAAAGTATAGTGGAATATGCTAATGATACCCTAAAGCGTATATCCCATTATTCAGATCCAATGTTTATCTATGTATTTCTTAAATGATCCTTGGTAACTGTTCTGGGTTTCCTACCAATAAAGGAACTCAAGAAAAAAAACCCATTGTGGGAATTGTGCAATGATGCACATGGAATTGATTGATGTGTTCCTGTTTCCTAAATGATTGTTTTACCAATCTCTCCACCCCCTCCTCTGACCTCCACATATAAACTGCTAATTGGGCCTATTAAGATCCCTTACAAGAAAACCCACAGAATCAATTAACTTGGGTTCATAGGGGCCCACAGGGACTGAACCGACCATCAGGGAGCCTGCATGGGTCTAACCTAGGCTCTCTGTGCATATGTTATGGTTGTGTAGCTTGATCTTGTGAGACTCCTAACAGTGGGAGCAGGGGCTGTATCTGACTGTTTTGCCTGCTTTGGGGACCTTATTCCTCCTACTGGGTTGCCTTGTCCAGCCTTAATACAAGGGGAAGTGCCTAGATTTACTGAAACTTGATATGCCATGTTTGGTGACCTCCCTGGGAGGCCTGACGTTTTATAAAGGGAAACTGAGCGAGAGTGGATGGGGGTGGGGGTGGGGACTGGGAGGAGAGGAGGGAGGGGGAACTGCAGTTGGGATGTAATATATGAGAGAGGAATAAATAAAAAATTAAAAACAATAGAGAATTAGATCCTCGATGTAGGTGCAGGTATGTCTCTGGTACCCTGCTGTGAGGTTGATTGGGATTTTTAGCATCATTGGGATTCCAGCTTCTTTCCTGGAACATGTTCACTAACTCTTAGAGCAGTCACCCTGCAGCCTCATGCACAGAGCCTCAGCTACTCTCTGTAGTGAAATGTCATGGCTGTCATCTCAAATCCACCTCCTTGTCTCCCCAACCAGAGCTGTTCAGGAGGTGACAGGAGAGAGAGGGATTGTCATCACACGCTCCACATTCCCCTCTTCTGGACACTGGGCAGGACACTGGCTGGGAGACAACACAGCTGCCTGGGACCAGCTGGGGAAATCCATCATTGGTGTGTAGTTGTTCTGAGGGGCCTTTGCTGGTGGTCGATGTGGAACTATAGTCGGTATAGTTTGGCTACACTATGTATGTTTAGCCTGGCATCTGGGTGGCAGTAAAGTCAATAGTGTGAGTTTTAGTTTATACCCATCTCTCAATATGTTCACTGGGAATTACCAAGGGCTGTTAATGAAGCAGAGGAAGAGGCACAATGAGCTTTCTCTCTCCTGCCCAAGGGTTGTCTTCATTTAACACAGCGATTTTGTCTCACTGCAGGCATGATGGAGTTCAGTCTCTTTGGAATACCTTATGTAAGTCACGTTGGGACCCTTGCACCTTGCCTAGGTTTCAGTGTCTGTGTGTGTCTGTCTTGAAAAAATAGCCTGTTGATACTCTGCATTTGCTTCTTCTCAGACAGGAGCTGACATCTGTGGGTTCTTTGGAGATGCTGAGTATGAGATGTGTATCCGCTGGATGCAACTGGGAGCATTTTATCCATTTTCCAGGAACCACAACAATGCCGGGACTAGGGTGAGGAGCCACTGTTTTATGCTGCAGATGTGTTATACAAACACCAAATCACAGCTTACTTCAAAATTACATAAGTGTCATTCTTATTTCCTGGCAAATCATGAAGACCACGGGGACATCCGTGTTTCAGAATGTCCACAAAGTTCAGAATTCCAGGGATTTCAATAACCCTTAATAGTACCTTAGTAGTACAGTTTTCCTCACCTCGTAGAGGAATTTTTTTTTGCCAAGAAAAGAGATTTTCTGGCTCCTGCATTGAACTACAATATAACACATTCCCTTGCTTGACAGAATATTGAGTTGGTATTATACGCAAGCCATCTTTGATAAATTGGGGCTACATAGGGGCCTATTGATAAGGCTTTACATATCCACAAAGCCCAAAGCAAGACTGTGCAAGGGACTTAAGAATAGGTGATAAAGAGGAACAGCGTCTACCCTTGATTTATAGGTGGCAGAGGGAGAAGAAGGGGTAGGCTAGAAACGGTGAGAGAAGAGACACATGAGTCCAGCCTTCCTCCCTCTGAGATCCCTGGGGTTCAGGGAAGAAGAGTTTTACCATGTGCTCACTCACCCCTTTAGAGACAAGATCCCGTGGCCTGGAATTCGACTTTTGAGGAGTACTCAAGGAAAGTGTTGCGGATCAGATACTCCCTGCTGCCCTATTTATATACCCTGATGCATAAAGCTCACACTGAGGGCAGCACCGTCATCAGATCGCTTCTCCATGAGTGAGTGTTGCCTCTTTCCCCAAACAGTGAGTCTGGGCACGTTGGTACATAACACTTTGCCATGGCTACAAGCATATGGATGAATTTTTCATATTGGACTTTTCAGGTTCACAGACGACAATATAACATGGGACATAGACCAACAGTTCATGTTGGGCCCGGCTATCCTGATCAGCCCCGTTCTGCAGAGTGTGAGTTTCTCATCATAGACCAGACACTGTCCAATCACATGATACAAAGTCACAGTGAAGCAAATTATTTTTTATCTAAAATTCAAAGAAAATATTGAGCTTATTCTTATTTGTGTCTGCACATGTACAGATACTAGAAGACAGCCTTTAGGACTGGGTTCTTTCCTTCTACCACTTGGCCTCAAGGGATCAAGCTCAAGTTTTGGGAGTTGGTGGAGGATGCTTCTACCTGCTGAGACACCTCATTAGCTCCAGGGACAACATTTTAAACATTTCTCTGTCTTGTTACTTCATTATTTTCAAACAGATATTCCTAGAACATCAAAAGGAGATCATTATCCCCCAAGATATCAAGGAAAGCTTTTCAACACTGATTTCTTATTTAGGGATTCTGTGGTTAGGAACTTATATAATTTCATTAATTAAAGCATTTTTTGTATATTTGAAGAGGAGTTTTCTAAGTGTATTCATTATGATTTCTCAAGTTCTTGACATCACTAACAAAATTCCATCTTAATGTTAATTCTATAGAAAGTGTTTTAAGGATAATATTGCTTCCCAGTTGGGATATTCATAGTAACATGGTGATTTTATGTTTCAGAATACATTTAAGATCCATGCTTATTTCCCCAGAGCCCGGTGGTATGATCATAGCACGGTGAGTTAGAATGGTTTTTTTGTTTTGTTTTGTTTTTGTTTTTTTTCAGAAGCAATCAGGATAGAGAGGGGGCTAAAACTTTCTCCCAATTTCCCAGACCAGAAAGAAACCCCTAGCCAGATCTGTGTGAGTGGGGATCTGCCCAAAGGAATAGGAAAACACCCAAGCACCTATTTCTCCCATTGCCTGTCCACCCTGTATCTTCTCTAGACTTATACAGAAAATACTAGGTTTTCAAAAGTTGTAGCAAAAATGAAAATAGACATTTTTTCCTCACAATTTTGCGGTGCTTTGCTGATCTTCCATCACCTTTCCTTAGTAAGGAAGCATTTTTAGTAAAATACCTAACTCATTGAATTGATTTTCCTGTCAGCGTTTCTCATCGATATGCTTCCTTGTAGGGATCTGGGCAGGAATCAATGGGTGAGTGGAGGTTACTGGCAGCCCCTCTGGACCACATCAACCTTCATGTCAGAGGAGGCTACATTCTGCCTTGGCAGGAGCCTGCAATAAACACCTACTACAGGTATGATGGAGCAGGGTTTGATGGCCTGGCCCTTTACTGGGACATTCGGATAGATAAACAGATTGCATGGAAACCAAAGTGCAGTTTCATTGGTTGGATTGTGTGGGTGCCTCTGATGCAAGCTAAAGGAAGTCAGGTGGATGAAGCCAATCTCTAGGTCTTTCACCTGTGGTTTTCTGTCAAGAGCACAATTCTTTTTTTTTTCTTTTTCTTTTTTACTTATTCAATTCTTTTTATTTTTATAATTTTTAATTTAGAAACAATCTTATTTTACATATCAACTCCCCGTTCCCTCTCCCTCCCATCCTCCTATGCCCCCACTGACCTCCCCAAAACACTCCCACCCACACCTCAAGGATAGTGAGGCCCTCCACGGGGGGGGGGGAGATCAAAGTCTGACACATATTTTGGGGGAGGGCCTAGGTCCTCCTCTATGTATCTGGGCTGCAATGGTATCCCTCCATAGGGAATGGGCTCCCAAAGTCCATTGGTACTCTAGGGATAAATACTGGTTCCATTGTTAGAGGTCCCATAGCCTGCCTAGGCTTCTTAACTGGCACCCACATTCAGAGGGCCTGGTTCAGTCCAATGCTGGTTCCCTGCTTTATGCCTGGGGTTCATGTGTTCTCACTAGGTCAGGCTTCATTTCTGAGTCATGTATTCTACTTCACAAGACTAGTCTGTTTGTGCTAGCATGCTTCTCATTATCAGCATGGTGGAATGATGCCAAGTAGAAGTGTGATATTTGTTGACAGTATTATTCTTGCCATGAATACTGAATGAAAGGAGAAAGACTCTGCAGGATGAGAAAAGCTGGTTCTGTGGGTTTCTCCAGCATGGTCTTGACTGCTTTGCTCATCTCCCCTCCTCTCAACAACTGAATTCCAGGAGTTTGGCTTAGAGCTTAGCTGTGGGTGTCTGCTTCTGCTTCCATCAGCTATTGAATGAAGGCTCTAGGGTGGTATTTAAGGTAGTCATCAGTCTCATTATAGGGGAAGGATATCAAAGGCAACCTCTCCACTACTGCCTAGATTCTTAGTTGGGGTCATCTTTGTGGATCTCTGGACATTTCCCTAGTGTCAGATTTCTCTTTAAACCTATACTGGCTCCCCCCATTAAGGTGTCTCTTTTCTTACTCTCCTCTATTCCTCCCCTGATTCAGTCTTACTGATTTCTCTTGTTCTCCCCTTCTCTTCTCCCCTTTTCTTTTTCCTACCTCCCTCCCCTCTCCCACGTGCTCCCAATTTGCTCAGGAGATCTTGTCCCTTTCCCCTTCTCTGGGGGACCATGTATTTCTCTCTTAGGATCCTCCTTGTTTCCTAACTTCTTTGGAGGTGTGGATTGTAGGCTGATAATCCTTTGCTCTATAATATCCATATATGAGTGACTACAAACCATGTTTGTCTTTCTGTGACTGGGTTACCTCACTCAGGATGGTTTCTTCCAGTTCCATCCATTTGCCTGTGAATTTCAAGATTCCATTGTTTTTTTCTGCTGAGTGATAATCCATTGTGTAAATGTACCACATTTTCTCCATCCATTCTTTGGTTGAGGGACATCTAGGTTGCTTCCAGGTTCTGGCTATTACAAACAATGCTTCTATGAACATAGTTGATTTGTTGTATGATATATGCCCAAGAGTGGAATTGCTGGATCTTGTGGTAGACTGATTCCCATTTTCCTGAGAAGTCACCATACTGATTTCCAAAGTGGCTGTACTAGTTTGCACTCCCACCAGCACTGGAGGAGTGTTCCTCTTTCTCCACATCCTCTACAGAATAAACTATCATTGGTGTTTTTGATTTTAGCCATTCTGACAGGAGCAAGATAGTATCTCAGAGTTGTTTTGATTTGCATTTCTCTGATGGCTAAGGATGTTGAACACTTTCTTAAGTGCCTTTCAGCCATTTTAGATTTCTCTATTGAGAACTGTCTATTTAGTTCTGTACCCCATTTTTAATTGGATTATTTGGTGTTTTGGTGACTAGCTTCTTGAGTTCTTTGTATATTTTGGAGATCAGCCCTCTGTTGGATATGGGATTGGTAAATATCTTTTCCCATTCCATGGGCTTCCATTTTGTCTTGTTGACTGTGTGCCTTACAGAAGCTTCTCAGTTTCAAGTGTTATGTTCAGGAAGCAGTCTCCTGTACCAATCCTTGTTCAAGGATACTGCCTACTTTCTCTTCTAAGAGGTTCAGTCTTTGATCCATTTGAACTTAAGTTTTGAAGAGCACAGTTGTTTTGAGCAAAAAATTTCTATTTTTAGGATAGAAACCTGTTTTCCTTCCTATGTTATTGAAAAGGGTAGATATTAATGAGCACCTTTACTTGCTGTGCTTGCACTGGAATATAGTATCCATTTCCAGGTCTACTTTTGGTGAACTCAAAGAGAGATTTCACACACACACACATACACACACACACACACACACACACACACACCATGTCAAAAACATATAAAAATGACACAGAAAAGCAGTCTACTCTCAGCCTGTGATGAAAAGCCTGATTTTAACAGACTTTGATATGGCTCTTGAAATAATAAATAGGATTTGCATGTGTGAAGGCAAGGAGAGCTATTCTGGAAAGATTAAAGAAATAAAGGTGAAAAATGAGCTGGGTGGATAAAATTGAAACAGAGTTACCTCATGGAAGGCTGTGAATGGCACCATAAGTAGATTGCATTTTCTTCTTTGTCACCTGGAAGCTGTGGAAGTTTTAGTATTCTGGGATTTTCTTGCTAAGTAATTGGTATCACACCATACTACTGTATTATTGCAGTGGGTATGTTGGAAAGTGTGCCTATTTGAGTTGTGAAAGTTGAAACTGACAAATGTTTCATTAAACTTTAAATGATGCTCTGTTGTCTTGTATCTTATAAGATGAAATCATCTTACTATTTTTGTCATTGACATACACATTTAATACCTTGAGTTTTGAATTTTATTTCTGAATAAAGAATGTTTTCAGCAGATGTTCTTACAGCCTACAACCAAAAATAATGATTTCTTTTTTGTAGTCGAAAAAATTTTGTGGGATTGACTGTAGCTTTGGATGATGAAGGGAAGGCAGAAGGACAGTTGTTTTGGGATGATGGACAAAGCATCGGTAAGTATGAAGCCCTCAGAGAGCCTGTATATCGTTCAGAGCACTGTGTCATGAGAGCTTATCATATGCTGGTGGGATCCAGAAACCTGTGTTGGCTGCTGCCAATACGGCAAAGGTGTTGGAGAGACTTTGGCTACTTCAGATATATTCTACTGCAAGTTACTGTAGACAAGGGATGGTTCTCCAGACTTGTAAATTCATGAGCTTGACATGATGGATGCAGCCAGGACAGATCTATCCTCACAGTACTTTTCACTCTGATAAAACAGTGTGGATGCAGATATCATGCTGATCATGAAGTCATCCTCATGGGGCAGGGCCATGGCTCTACTCGGGTCAGCCAGAAACATCAGGCATCTTTATCCTCTTAAGTAGGGACACGCAGGAGACTCTTGATGACACACAAATTGGGAATTAAGAATTGCCAGGATGTTGAATACTTGTTATGCTTTCTATCTTCAAGCTGGGCTGTCATTCTGTTGGATAATAACTGCCATCCATTGTTATCATCAGAGCATCCTCTTGCCCAGAAATTTCTAAAGAATACTAACGTACCACAACTACTTGTTCTCACTTTCATTACTGTTATCTTGGACTAGAACATATTGATTTTGCAAAATTCCACACTTTCTGAAACTGTAGCCTATTTTCCTTCACTAAATACATCTAAGATTTTCTTCCTCTTAGACTTCTTCACTCTCATCGAAGCAGGAAATACTCACAAAAGCTTTAAGGGTAGAAAATTAGAAAAATAGAACCACATTTAGGTATATTGTTGCATTGTCTTTTGTTTTTCTGTTGTTATATATTTAGTAAAATGTCTAATTTCTATATAGCTGAAATCATGGCAAGTTTTATTTATAAACTTGGTTTCTTTTTACTGAATGTAATAACAGACACACAGCTAGATATTAGGGTATACTCCTTGTAAACATCATTACTATGACCATAACCCATAAAGAAGATAAACTAAAGTTTGTCTAACTATAATTGTTCTCTCTATATGATGTTAATTTTAATTGCTGTAAATTATATTTTGAGTATTAGCTTTATTTAGATTATTTTCCAGAGTACATGGCCTTAGCTGAAATTTATGAAAAATAACCATTCAAGAATATAGTTCTTTGAATTTTTTATTAAAATTTTTAAATTAAGATATATTTACAGGGCTGGAGAGATGGCTCAGAGGTTAAGAGTACTGACTGCTCTTCCAGAGGTCCTGAGTTCAATCCCCAGCAACCACATGGTGGCTCACAACCATCTAAAATAAGATCTGATCCCCTCTTCTGGCCTGCAGGGATACATGCAGACAGAACACAGTATACATAATAAATAAATAAATCTTTTTTTAAAAAGATATAATTACATCATGTCCTCCTTTCCTTTCTTCTCTCTAACCACTCCAATATTCCCTCCTTTATTCTCTTTCAAATTAATGGCCTCCTTTTCCTTTATTATTATTGCTACACACACACACACACACACACACACACACAAATTTGTAAATACATAAACAGAACCCAGCGAGTCTCTTTCTCATGGCCTATGAGTATATGATTTCAGGGCTGACTACTCTGTGTTATCATATATATCTCCCCTAATAAAAATCTAATTTTTCCTATCTCCGCAGGCAATAGTAGCCTCTGCATCTTTGTCTAGTGGTGGGACCTCAGGATATTTCCCTTTCTGTGTCAGTGGGTCTATTGTTGCTATTATTGTTTAAGTCCTTTTAAAACAGCCATATTTTTAGGTATCTTGGGTGTAGCTACTTTTTGTTTCTAGGAGAAACGAAAACAACTTCACAGTAGAGTTTTTGATCTTCCGTCTCCCACAACCTCTCTGTTCCCTCTTCCAGATGGCCCCTGAGAAGTTGTATTGAAGATGTATGTTGAGGTTGGCCTGCCCATGAGCCACTGGTTTCTGATTATGGCTGTTTTTGTTTTTTTTTTTCCTTTTTCTTTTTGTTATGGTGTCTGTTTGCTGTAAAAAGAAGCTTCTTCAATGAGGGTTATGAGCTACATTTACCTGTGGGTGTAAGGATATAATGCAATTAGGAATTACACTGGTCTAGTAAAGTGATGGCAGTGGAAATTTTCCTCTAAGACCCATGAATTTATTAGTCCTAGGTAGCTGTCCAAGTTTCTAGTACCAGGTATAATTCTCAGACTATTGAGTGAACGTTAAGTCTAATTGGACGACAGTTGGTTGCCACCAAAATATGAGTGCCACTCTTGTACCTTTAGAGATATCTTGCCAAGTTGGTCATTGTTCAAGTTCCTAGATGTCTCATCCAGATAGCACTACTAATGGCTTTTCTCCCTTGATAATTTACTTAGTACTTGCTGGTACTATGAAGGCTAGATCACAGGAAGGAGAATTTCAGGTTAGATGCAGCTCAAATCTTTCTGAGTCCTGTGTCCAAAGTAAGTAATGTCTTCTGCAATAGGGATTTGCCTTCAACCTCTGAGAAACAACCAAGGGCAATAGCAATAGTCTAGATTTTCAGAGAATCTGTTACATTACTCTGACTCAAGCCAGGGTTCTTCATGCCTGGTAGTGGGTTTTTTGTCAAATAGTTGTGCTGGCTAGTTTATGTTCAGTTGACATAAGACACATTTACAAGAGGGAACCTCTACTGAGGTAATGCTCCCATGAGATTGGCTTGTGGACAAGCCTGTGGCACATTTTCTTAATTAGTGTTTGATGTGGGGAGGCCCAGCCTATGGAGGTAGTGCCATCCCTGGTCAGGTGTATAAGAAAGCATATACCAGATAATAACCTGAAATGAAAAGTGATACTGTATTCATTTCCCTTTGGTGTTGGAAATTAAAACCTGGCTCTTTCTTTTTTTTCTGAATAATGACATTTATTCAGCATATATTATGCATCACATACTGTGTTTTGGATGAGTACAGTATTTACACACCTAACATTAAGAAGGTGGAAACAAGAACAGTGGGAATTCAAAGCAAGTCTGGGCTACATTTAAGCTCCAGACTAGCCTGAGTTAGAGAATGAGAGCCTTTCTAAACCAAACCAAACAAACAAACAAAACAAAAGGCAAGTGCTTGCTTACTATCTTTATTGCTTTTCAGGAAGATGAAGAATACCTTGTTAGTCATTGTGATTCATTTTAGATATTTCACACTCAATGTAAGATTATCTGCTATAACCAAAGAAGGTAACTGATTATTCTTTTCTAATTGCTTGCAGATACATATGAGAAGGGAAATTATTTCTTAGCTAACTTTATAGCAACACAGGTAAGATTACCTTATTAAGTTTATAAATTATTTTACCTATAGATTAGACATCATCTACTAACTGTATAAATATAATGTTTACATGTCAAGAAGAAGTACTTTGTAATGTGAAGTTTTTCTTGCCTGGCTAGGTCCCCCAGCCTTTCTCTGCCTCAAAGAAACATGCAGACACTATATTAGTTATAAAGCTGTTGACTGCTGGTTATGGCTTCTTATTGGCTAACTCTGTCTAAATTAATCCATAACTACAAATCTATATATTTCCTCATGACCTTATCTTGCCAGAGAAAAGGTCCAAGCCCCTTACTCCGTTGGGGTCTTCATCAAGTCTATTCAGCCTCTCTGCAGAGAAGAGAATGATCTCCTGCTTGTCCCTGCTTATATACTGATTCTGCCCTGCTATGTCACTTCTGGCCTGGATCACATAGTGACTTCTCTTTACTACATTTCCCAGAATCCTCCCTGACTCCTAATCCCACCTATCTTGCTTCCCTATTGGCCAACATTGCTTTATTCAGCAACCAATAAGATAAACATGTACACAGAAGAACATTCCCCAGCAGTACTTCCTGTCTTCTTTAATTCATGTCGTTGACAATAAAGTAAGGAAGAAAATAGTCCTTATTTTACATTTATCCAGAATACCATACTATGTGAAAAGAAGTTTGAAACTCATATTATCCTGGGAGAAAATGGAACCCTCAGTGTAAAGCTTATTTCTAGGGATAAGAAGCTTTCTGGCTGATTTTGAAGTGTAAATGCTGTATAAATGATCCATTAAGTGATACTTCTGTATAGTTGCTACCTTCATAGCCTCATTGTCATGTGACAGCAAATGTTTACTGAGATCATCAATTTACAGAGTTCAGATGATCTGATCAACACTTAGCTGACTGCTTCTAATATATATATATATATATATATATATATATTAAGATCCAGCAAAAATGGACTATACTTACATAGCTGGTAGTCAGCTTACCTGAAGATAAGCTAAAATCACCTTATGGGTGATGTCTAATAATGACTTTTTCATGATTATGGAATAACATAAAGTGAAAGTTGATGGACTTAAGAGAGGGCTCAGTTGCTCAAAGTGCTTACTGCTTCTGCAGAAGAGCCACGTTTGGTTCCTAGTGCCCATTTCAGGCAGGTCACACCCACCTGTAACTTCAGTTTTGGAGGATCCAATGTTTTTGGCACCCAAAGGCACCTGCAGATACATAGTGTCACATAAATGCACACAGGCATGCACACACATACATACATAAATAAACACATCTTTAAAAACTAGAATTAGAAATGCCAAATTCTTACTTAAAATTATATTTTTATCAAGTTGATTAATTTCTCATTAGCACAGTAAAGAATGCATAACCAAGACCATGTGAATCAACAATTCTTATTCAGTAAAGCAGAATGTAAGAATGACATGGGAAATGGCAATTACTGAGGAATAAATGAATTAGAGGAAACAATACTTGGCATGGACAATCTGTCTTCTTCTCCTGAGAATTAAGAAAATCATGTTAAATCAAGTCCAGAATCTGCTTATCACTCAGCCATTGACTCAAAGCATGGACTACTGAAGCACAAATGGATCACCACTTTGTAACAATGCGTCAAATGTTAGGTGTCTGTTCAATCACTACCCCTCTTGTCCTCTCTGTCTCTGGGGTAGCATGGGATTTTCTTTGTATTGTGTTTATGCTGGTTCCTAGATCTGATCATTCTGAATACTGGCTAATCTAGATTTCTCTTAAAACACAGTGGCCAGGATCAAGAGCATGATTGAGACTTCTGTGCTTCCTGCCTTCCTTCCTTCCTTCCTTCCTTCCTTCCTTCCTTCCTTCCTTCCTTCCTTCCTTCCTCCCTTCCTCTTTCTTTCTCTTTCTTTCTTTCTTTCTTTCTTTCTTTCTTTCTTTCTTTCTTTCTTTCTTTCTTTCTCTTTCTTGTCGAATAGATTTTTCATTGACAATATATTCTCTTACACCATACATCCCAGCCACAGTTTTCCCTCCCTCTACTCCTCTTAGCTCCCCCACCTCCAGATCCACTCCCCTCCATTTCCTTTTCAGAACAAAGCAGGCCTACAAGAGATGATAGCCAAACAGGACAAAACAGGATACAGTAAGACAAGGCCAAAGCCCTCATATCGAGGCTGGGCAAGACAACCCAATAGGAGCAAAAGAGTCTCAAGAGCAGGCAAAAGAGTCAGATACACGCACTCCCACTGTTAGGAGTCCCATAAAAATACCAAGCTAACAGCCATAACATACACAGAGGACCTGGTGTAGAGCCATTTCCCCCTGTGCTTGCTGCTTTGGTCTCTCTAGTTTATGTAAGCCCTGCTTTGTGGATTCTGTGGGCCATGTTCTCTGGGTATTCTTCATCCCTTCTGATTCCAACAGTCTTCCCTACCCATTTTCCGTGGGGTTCCAAGATCTCTGAGGGGAGAGACCTAATGGAGACCTCCAATTTTGAGTCTCTCTCCTCATAAGGTCTGGTTGTGAGTCTCTGCACCTGCTTCTATCTGCTGCCTAAGGAAGCCTCTCTGATGATAACTGAACAAGGTACCAATCTATGAGTACAGCAGAGTATCATTAGGAATCTTTTCATTGATTTTATTTTTTTAAGGCCAGCCATGTTTGGTTCTGTCCTAGGAGTCTGGGATATTCAGTCTACACTTTCTGGCCATCTAAGCAGTATCAGGCATGAGTTCCCTCTTGTGAAGTGGGCCTCAAGTTAAATCAGACATTGGCTGGTCACTACCACGTTTTTTTTTTTTTTGTTGTTGTTGTTGTTGTTTTGTTTTGGTTTTGGTTTTTTTTGCGAGACCATTGCCCCAGAAAATCTTGCAGGCAGGACAGGTTGTAGGCGGAGGGTTTTGAGGTTGGGTTGGTCCAGACTTCTCTTTCCATAGCCTGCAGAGTACCTTTCCACACCAAAGAGACTAGAAAGTAGAGGTGAAGGCGCTTCTAGCCCACACTAGTTTGGCCTCTCTATGTTCAATGAGCTGAGTAGTTGCACTCAGCAATGGGCCTCTGCTGTCAGTTTTCACAGGGTGACCTTCTGCTCTAGCGTCACTTTGGGCTGTTTATGGGTTTCCATAGGACCTCCTCATCCAACAACTCACCCAGGACCATCACTGGAAGCCGTGACTGGCTCCCAAAGACGGCCAGTTCAGACCTGTATCCTCCGTTACGAGAGGTCCTCACTAGAATCTCCCTCATAGATTCCAAAAAGTTTCCTTTGCACTATGTTTCCACATCGTCTCTCTCCCGCCTGACTCACCCGGCTTATTCCCCCTCATGCTACAGCCCACCCCAGAATCCATTCTACTCCCTCTTCCCAGGGAGATCTGTGCTTCCCTCCTCTAGCCCTCCTCTTTAGCTAACATCTCTGGGTCTGTGAAATGTAGTTTAACATTGACTTAACAGTTAATAGCCACTTATAGGAGAATACGTATTATATATATCTTTCTGGGTCTAGGTTACCTCACTCAGGATGATTTCTTCTAGGTCCATCCATTTGCCTGTACATGTCATATTTCATGATGTCATATTCAACAACTTATTAATACTCCATTGTGTAAATGTACCATATTCTCTTTATCTGTTCTTCAGTTGAGGGGCATCTAGGTTGTTTCTAGTTTCTGGATATCATGAGTAAAGCTGCAATGAATATAGTTGGGAAAGTGACCTTGTGGTAGGATGGAGTATTCTTTGAGTATATGCCCAAGAGTGGTCTAGCCGGGTCTTGAGGTAGATCAATTTCCAATTTTCCAAGGAACTGCCATATTGATTTCCATAGTGGCTGTACGAATTTGCACTCCTGACTTCTACTATACAACACAGTAGCCACTGCTCATCTGTGGCTGTTGCATGCTTGAAATGTTTAGTTTGAAATATCCAGATGCTAAGTTTAAAGAAAGAGACTAAAAGATCTCATGAATACACTTATGCTGAATATGCCCTAAACCTTACTTGGAAATACTTGGCAAAAAGAAGGTATTTTACAATTCTTCTGTTTCCTTTTACTCTTTGAAAATTGTAGCTGCTAGAAAATTTAAAACATGGTTTACATTCAGTTCCAACAGCAGAAGAAATTCCAGATAGCCCGACACATCTTATAGAAACTTTAATATTTTCTTTTGGTGGGGTTATTTGTGTTGAGTTTTAAACACACACATATCAGCATTAGGTCTAAGCAAGTCTCATGGTCCACTAAGACTCACATTGCTCCACATACAGGACTATCAGTGCATAGCCACTCTTTTCTACTCCTGCCTTTTTGAAATGAAATAGAAGACTTAGTGTACTAGATTATTCTGCCTTTTCTGTGTTCTTGATTTAGCAGTAGCTGTTGAGTACGTTACCTTTCTTTCCTCTTAAAGTGTTGCTAATACTTGAAGATGCTTATATGTAAGTCCTGGTGTTGGTTCTATTTCCACTAACTCATTAGATTTAAGAGGGACATTTCTGTCTCCTGTTCCTTCCTTATAGCATTAGCATACTTTTAAATAACAACTGACTCTAAAGTTCAATTTTCTTGTTATTCAAAATTAATAATAATGAGTTCTACTATGATACTTAATAGATTTTTTCCACCCTAAAGATCAGCCTGAGATAAAAGAAACTTTCATCTTTCTTTGGGGACTGGGTGGTTATTATCAATGCCACAATTGGCATTGGTGGTAGGGGTGGGGGTGGCGGTGGTGTGTGTAGCATTTGTTCATTTCTGTACATTCTGTGAATATTGAAATAAACTTAACAATAAGCTCTCCTAAACCAATAAGCTACAATCTAATTATTCCCTTCAAGTTATATTTTTCTTCTTGGTTCTGCATACTCAGTCAGTCACAAAATGTAATATGCTTATTTATTTTTAATGAAAAAATATTTATGTGTATGGGTGTTTGAGAAGGTCAGAGGAAGGCATCAGATCTCTCATAGCTATAGTTATAGGTGGTTGTGAGCCTGACATGGGTGATAGAAACTGAATTTGGGTTCTCTAGAAGAGTAAGTGCTCTTAACCACTAATCCATTTCTCTAGCCCCTTATTTATTATTTGTTTTGACATGGAATCCCATCATCTTTTTCCTAGACTGATTTTGAACTTGCTGTGTAGTCAGCAGGCCTTTAAAATGTGATACCACCACCTTATCCTCTCTAGGACCTGGGATTACAGTCATGTACCATTGCATTTGACTTTATTGTTTTTTTCTTCTTTAAATGTAATGGGATCCTTTTATTTCTCTTTCTAATGTCATCATCAGAATCAAGCCACATGCAGCTTTACTCCACTGTCTCAGTCTCCCTTATTGTTTTCATAGAATTCTTATAACCTTGTGTTTCATTCTCTGTTTCCTTAGGAACTGCTACACTACACTAGCCCTAGTCTGTCTGGCCCCATTACTTGTCCCACTCATCTTGCCTGCTCTCTCTCTCTCTCTCTCTCTCTCTCTCTCTCTCTCTCTCTCTGTCTGTCTGTCTGTCTCTTAATTTTTTGAGGCAGGGTTTCTCTGATTACCTGCATCCATCCTTCTAGGATTTCCGGAGTTCCATGTATTCAATAGTGCTTTTCATGTCTTTCCTAGACTCGTAGTTACTTTTCTTCTGTTTCCTTAATACCAATAGTATTCTTGTTATGATTTTCATTTTGCTTTAATTATGTAACATTTCATAATACATCTCATTTCTACTTATGCTTATGTTTATATGGCTCACATCCAACTGTAATGGGATCAGATTCCTTCCTCTGGTGTTTATGAAGACAGAGTGCTCATATGCACAAATACATGAATAAATAAATCTTTAAAAATGGTGCAATGAAAGTAGTTAAAATGTTTTCACATTGTAATGTAGAACATAGTTTACTATATTTATTACATGTGTGTTATGTATGTTTTATTCTTATGAATTCTTTATAGAACACCCTGAAGATCCAGGTCCTACATAATCAGTACCTGAGTGGCTCAAATCAACTGAAAATTGGATACATTAGACTATGGGGTTTAAATTCTTCTTATGTGGTACATGTCGCTTTTACCTACAACAACCAGCAATTCATTGAGAACAATTTCACAACTGACCCCTACAATCAGGTACGTCTAAAAGGAATGCCATCATAAACTCACTTTATTAGTCTATTAAATTATCTCTGCTATTACTATCTAATATGTGTGATACCTATTGCAAGTATTGTACATCTGTAAAAGTAGTATGTTTCTGAAAGGCTGTGAGGACTGGATTGTAAAGTGGACAACATTGGTGGTCCTGTGTTTGTAGTCTGGTATTGATAATCTGTAGTCTGATGATATCTTCTCTATTGTGTTCACTAATGAATTGAATTATCTTTGAATAGATTCGTTTCCTAGGCTACCTAATAAAATAATGTGACATTTTTACATATAGGCTAAAGCCAAGGAATGGTTATGAAAGTTCCTTTCTCCTTCTAGCGGTGTGCCCATCCTTTGGCAAATTAATGGTTAAGTTTTAAGTTGGTACTTAATGTTACTCTTATTAAGTGGCCATGCTTCACTCACAGTATAAGATAAGCTAACAAAATGGAGTGCCATAAACACCAGACTATTAAAACTATTAAAGCGACAACCTTGCCCCAAGTGAAACAATGTTCTACAAGATGGGTTACTCATAGAATAGGAACCTGTGTAATCTGAACTTTGGAAACTGAACAGTAACTTCAGACCATGGATTAATTATAAATGGATGATGTAGCCCAAACAGAAGGATTAAAGAAGTGAAAATGAATATCTATAGTTCCTGCTTCTAAATGGGGACAATAGTGTCCTGGCAGTAATGGGGTTTTGGAAAATGAGGATTCAGAGCAACCAAGTAGATTTTCCCCACTGTGGTCTTCTTGGTTACATACTTAAATACAATAAACACAATAATATGTTTCTTAGATTACTGGATTCAAATTACTCTGAAAGTATCGATTCTAATTAACCTAGCTGCAGAAAAGCACTGAGTTCCATTTTGGGAAAACTCTGTAGCATATTTAATTCCTATTATTTTTCAGGCAGTATTAGTGGGTGACAGTAATAAGGTCAAGAAATGAGTCTGCTGTCAAGAAAGATAAATGTTAATGACAAAATGACAAAACAAATGTTAATTTTCACCACAACTGTAAATATCTGAGAACAACATAGTTTGGATATAAGAATGTGTAAAGAAAGTGATGCATAGCACTTGGTTCTGCACAGAACACCTCACCATGGTGATTTGGAACCAATATAAGCTGAAGAGATTTGTATCATTTACTCTTTGGGAAAGAATGAATACTTTTTTTTTTGCTAAGATAAAAGTTGAACAGTGACTTCAGTATAATGTTTAATACATTCTAATATAACAATGTAATCTTTTTTGGCAGAAACTAACAATTCAATTGACTGAAAAGAACATGAACCTGGAAGAGCTGACTGAGGTTATTTGGGTTTATGGAGACCCTGCACTTCCCACACCAAATGCAACCAGTGTGCTTCCCACAAGCCCTCAGCCAACTTCATCTAGCACTGAAATTGTAACCAGTTCTGCTCTCATAACTACACCTGATATAACAAGTACTTTCACAACTACACTTCCTGACATAACTACACCTTTCCCTACAAGTCCTTCTACCACTAACACTAGTGATGTAACTCCATTCATAACCACAACGCCTGAACCAACTACTGTTGACAATACAACAGGTACTATATTTCCTGACAAAACTACACCTTTCCCTGAAAGTCCTCCTACTGCTAACACTAGTGACGTGATTCCTTTTACAACCATAACTCCTGAAGCAACTACTGTCAACAGTACAACAGGTACCACATTTCCTGACATAACCACACCTTTCCCTACAAGTCCTCCTACTACTAACACTAGTGATGTGATAACTTTTACAACCATAACTCCTGAAGCAACTACTGTCAACAGTACAACAGGTACCACATTTCCTGACATAACCACACCTTTCCCTACAAGTCCTTCTACTACTAACTCTAGTGATGTGATTCCTTTTACAACCGTAACGCCTGAACCAACTACTGTTGACAATACAACAGGTACTATATTTCCTGACATAACTACACCTTTCCCTACAAGTCCTCCTACTGCTAACACTAGTGATGTGATTCCTTTGACAACCATAACTCCTGAAGCAACTACTGTCAACAGTACAACAGGTACCACATTTCCTGACATAACCACACCTTTCCCTACACATCCTCCTACTACTAACACTAGTGATGTGATTCCTTTTACAACCACAACTCCTGAAGCAACTGCTGTTGACAATACAAGTAGTTTATTTCCTAACATAACTACACCTTTCTCTACAAATCCTACTACTACTAACACTAGTGATGTGATTTTTTTTACAACTACAGCTCCTCAAACAACTACTGTTGACAGTACAACTAGCTCCACATTTCTCAACATAACTACATCTTTCCCTACAAGTTCTCCTACTGCTAACACTAGTGATGTGATTCCTTTTACAACCATAACTCCTGAAGCAACTACTGTCAACAGTACAACAGGTACCACATTTCCTGACATAACCACACCTTTCCCTTCAAGTCCTCCTACTACTAACACTAGTGATGTGATAACTTTTACAACCATAACTTCTGAAGCAACTACTGTCAACAGTACAACAGGTACCACATTTCCTGACATAACCACACCTTTCCCTTCAAGTCCTCCTACTACTAACACTAGTGATGTGATAACTTTTACAACCATAACTTCTGAAGCAACTACTGTCAACAGTACAACAGGTACCACATTTCCTGACATAACCACACCTTTCCCTTCAAGTCCTCCTACTACTAACACTAGTGATGTGATAACTTTTACAACCATAACTTCTGAAGCAACTACTGTCAACAGTACAACAGGTACCACATTTCCTGACATAACCACACCTTTCCCTTCAAGTCCTCCTACTACTAACACTAGTGATGTGATAACTTTTACAACCATAACTTCTGAAGCAACTACTGTCAACAGTACAACAGGTACCACATTTCCTGACATAACCACACCTTTCCCTTCAAGTCCTCCTACTACTAACACTAGTGATGTGATAACTTTTACAACCATAACTTCTGAAGCAACTACTGTCAACAGTACAACAGGTACCACATTTCCTGACATAACCACACCTTTCCCTACAAGTCCTTCTACTACTAACTCTAGTGATGTGATTCCTTTTACAACCGTAACGCCTAAACCAACTACTGTTGACAATACAACAGGTACTATATTTCCTGACATAACTACACCTTTCCCTGCAAGTCCTCCTATTACTAACTCTAGTGATATGATTCCTTTCACAACCACAACTCCTGAAGCAACTACTGGTGACAATACAACTGGCCCCACATTTCCTGATATAACTACAAATTTCCCTACCAGTCTTCATACTGATGTCACTAGTGATATCATTCATTTCACAACCACAGCTACTGAAACAAGTACTGTTGACAATGCAACTAGTACTACACTTCCTCCAATAACTGGAACTACACCTTTCCCTCAGAGTCCTCCTGTTGTTAGCACTAGTTCTGTGATTCCTGTCACAATGACAGGTACTGAAACAGGCACTGTAGGGGCTACAAACTCCACCGTAGTGCCATGATCTCATTCAAGGGTCTAGCGCAGTGGTTCTCAACTTTCCTAATTCTGTGACCATTTAATAGAGTTCCTCATATTGTGGTCGCCCTCAGCCATAAAATTATTTTGTTGCTACTCCACAATGTAATTTTTCTGCTGTTATCAATCATAATGTAAATTATCTGATGTGTGACTCCTGTGGAGGTTGAGACCCACAGGTTGAGAGCCATTGGCAGTGCTAGATCACCTCCCAATCCATGATTATTACCTCTGATATCTCTGAAACAAAGCTACAAAAATTTGTGAATAGACTTAGGATCACTTGGCTTCCCAAAATAGTTTTTGTCTTGTCCTAGCAGATGTAGATACTCCACGAACTCCAACAATTGTACATGTATAAATTTATATCCATTCCAAACCTAACTTCTACAAAAGAAGGTTGCATGTTGATCATGCTGTCTGAATGCATACCACAATTATTTCTAATGTTATCTATTATACTATGGCCCTACTGGTTAAATGACACATATGTCCATAGCCTTCACTTGTAATCATAGTACCATGCCATACCACAGCAATTCTGTGAATACTATTGCTGCAGGGTTTTTTTTTTAAATATATAGTCCCACTCCTACTGTTTTCTTGGGTTACATGTTCTAATCCAAATTGGAAAGCCATGGTGATACCCTAGTTACCTCACTGACAGCAATTGCTTACATTGAAGATTTTTTAAATAATGATGTGAAAAGAAGCATTTTATTTTCCTATAGATTTTTCCAAATACTCTATCCTGGCGTTCTCTGGAGTAGCTCACTGTCACACACACTAATACTATTTTTGCTTTCAAGGGGATTCTAGCTATTGGCATAGACATAAATCACAACTCCAACTACTGAAGTCACTAAATTATAGACATAGCAATTTTACTATCAAAGACCTTGTAGTAATAATAATAATAATAAGACTCTGATAAGTGTTAGTGGTACTCTACAGCTTTCATAAGCATAGATTGAGCCTTCCTCATCTCAAATGCTTGGGACTGAAAGTGTTTCAGATTTTATATTTCATGCTTCTGAACTTTTGCATATACAGAGTGATATCTAAACATGAAATTCATTAATGTTCATGTATACTCTAGACACGCATAGCTTGAAGATTATTTCATATAACATTTAAAGTAATTGTATGCATAAAACCAAGTTCATGGTGTGACATTTCCCACTTGTGACAATGCCACTTGTGGCATTATGTTGGTACTCAAAATGTGTTATATTTTTGGGATAGGAATACTCAACCTGTTCTCCTATTCATAGATACCAAACTGCTCTAGAAATTTGAAATCACTCTTATGAGCTAGTTTTAGGCCCTTACTGTTCCCACTAATGACTAACTGCGATGTGCCTACAAACTAAAACTTATGCAGACAGTGGTAAGACTCTAGGTATAGCCCTAGGAGGCAGTCTATCCTGGATTGGAGTTTAGAATCATAGTCACCTATCCTTTTACTTTGTTATTATATTGTCCATTCTGTCCTTCGGTGTGTTAGAGGTTCCTGAATGGTTCTGATCTTTCATATACACTTTACCACTCATTTTTGATCTACTGCTTCTTTAGATCACTCCCTAACCTTGTAAATAGACTCATGGATACTTCCAAATCTAGCAAGCTGAGCACTATTGAAGGCTTGAGCAGTATTCTCGAAGTGTAAATATGAAATCTGTGAGTGCCCCCGACTCTTTGTAAAGTCAATAGCATGCAATTTGTTTTCATAATACCAAGTTGTTATTTGTCCCTTTCACCCTTGTGTCCTACTGCTACATAGTGGCATTTTTCAGAGACTTCAATGTGACATTGCAATAGACAGATATGGAAGCAACTGTGAAGATGCTTTTGCTGTCAAGACATAGAAAAGACTCACAAAATGTAAAACAATACCATTCTTCTTACTCTTTGTTTCTGCCTTTGAAAATATACTTATTTTTCACAAAGATATTATTTATGTTAGCATGTAGTAGATATATTGTTATTTTAACTAATGAAAATAAATATTTATAAAATGTTTTGTGAATGGCTCAATTTAGATTTTGAATGCAGTAAATATTAACAGGTATAACCCACATAAGCAATGTGATATTGTCACTGGTTTTGAATATAAAGAAATACTGAGACCAAAGAGTTTGAAAGCCACTTCCTTAGGTTTACAGAGTATCTTGTTTCTACCCTTGTGTACTGGTCACCAATACCAAAAACAGACCCAGAATCTTTGATTTACTCTACTTGAACATTGATTCCTCTTCTACCTGATAGAATATCATCCTGGCTTTCTGACCTGATATACCAGATATACTATGTTTTGGATTATTCAATGGCATTCCATATGAAGAATATAGATTCATCAATTATGCTTGTTTCTTGAATTTGATCCATGAGTTATAGCTATTTGAACAAAGATGAGGCTTTATGTTTGTGGTTACATGGGTCTAGCCTTATCCTTCCAACTCAAACCAAACTCATAATTATCTCTATAGAATGTCATGGACCCTCTTACTTGTACCTTCACTAAGAGAAGTCCAATGTGCTGCGTTTGTGGCAATAAACTTAGGGGTGGGTTGTGGGACTGAAAGTTTGCTTTTTTGTTTGTGATGTGTATGCATATGTGCGTGTTTTTGTATTTGTAGGAGCACATAAATGTGTAACTTCATTCGTGTGGATGCCAAAGGTCAATATAGAGTGTCCTTCTTAGTCACTTCCCACCTTATTTTTAAGACAAGATCTCTCAATGAAATTGGAGCTCATTAATTAAGAAGACTTGCTGGCCAATGAGATCCAGGGATTTTGCCAGGCCTGGGGTTATAGTTGATGCCCTAAGCCCTCACTTCTGCAAAGAAGTTTCAGGCCCAGGCTACCAGACTGAAAACATCAGAGGGCTGTTGATGGTACATCCTCCATCCCTATAACTAGTACACTGTAACTAAATGTGCCCTACTTACCTCACATTCTCTAAATCACAAGTTAGCATGATTCCTTTCTCTCTTGCTGGGAATGTAGGATCACTCTCCCAGAATCAGAGATGGCCTGACTATGAGCAATAAATGGAGTATTTGTCATAAAGTCCTTCCTCTAAAACCTGTAAGAAGATGTTTGCCTCAATCCCTGCCATGGTGCTCTCTACTTATAGTATCAGTATCTCTTCTAATAATCTCTTTCACAAAAGGATAATCTGCCTCATTGTCCCCTTTGAATCCAAAATCCAACAACTATCAGTTGCTTACATAAAATATACCAGAGAAAAATAGATGTTAAGGGCCACGTGGTTTAAAATTTCCACCCCATGAAAGTTTCCTTATCTTCCAGGACATCAGAATCTGATACAGTGCCTCCTTGAGAGTTTGCCGACTACTACTGTAAGAGACACAGACTTGGAAAACTCTCTTTGATTAAGGTAGCAAGATCTTCACATATCATGAGGCTGGGAAGTGGTTCTGATCAGTTCAAGAACTGAGTTTTTTTGTAGATTTTGAGGGTGAAGCACCTTGAATATTGACATATATTGTGGGAAATTACCAATACAGAGTCAGGTAGAAATATAAGGGTATTTAATAGGGAAAAGCCTTACTTACAGAGCAACCTAGCCAGCTGGCGTGGTAGAGGTCTGTACAGCAAGCAGCAAAGAGAAACCGAAACCGCAAATGCAGTCACTCTACATCACTCTGACCACGCCCTCACAAGCATGGTCAGGCACACCTGTAGCCAGCCCCTAAGAAGGTGTGGCTATAGCTTCCCCTACAGACATATTCCAGCAATGACAGTTATGGTGAGTTCATTACTTCTCATGGCCTCACTACACTTCACCAGTGTGAGAAGAGGAAGCAGGGCTGCAATGTTAGATCACAGCCCCTGGAGCTGTGAAATGGAGTGACTGAAATCATATTCTTGATCACTAGGGGATTAAGACCCTGCCAAACACCTTGGGTCATCCAGTGTAGGAGTGACTTCTCAAAGACATAATGAACAAGGCAACTCATAGATTGGCAAAGTGACTTTAACTCTAATTAAGAATTAATAGACATGGCTTCCAGAAAATCCCAAGTGAGCACCTTCTTTGGACCTTTAGTAACCACTGAAACTCAATTCTTAGTCTACTCCTTCTCCGTGGTGGGTTTTTTGGTTATTGTTGTTGTTTCGTTTTTTTTGTTGTTGTTTTTTTTTATTTTTGTTGTTGTTGTTGTTTATTGATTTTTTGAGGCAGGGTTTCTCTGTAGCTTTGGAGCCTGTCTTAGAATTCACTTTGTACATCAGGCCAGCCTTGAACACACAGAGATCTGCCTGTCTCAATCTCCTGAGTGTTGGGATAAAACACGTGCACCATCACCACCCAGCTCCCATAGAGATCTTGAACAAGTGTTACACTGTCGGGCCAACAACTTACTTTTCTCTACTTGGCTTTCTACTTATCATCAGAGCTCAGTTCAACCCTCCTTTCCAGATAGGTTCTTTACAATGAATGACTTACATGTGATAATATAACCTGGAAGGATAAACAATAAAGAAAAGTTGTATTTGGGACAACCAAAAGCTCCTGAAGTTTTAATCTGGCAATTCAAGAGGCTTCCAAGCTGCTTCTGAGGAACCAAAGACTCAAATGAAAGAGGCTGCCAAAGGAAGCAAGTTGAATTCTATTTAATGTGATACTTCAAAATTTCTCCCTATTACACAGAACTTCCTCCTTTACAAAAAATTGCCCTTTGCTTTCTCTTATACCTATAGCATACTCACATAGCCTCAGAAAGATCTGGACACAAAATGTCATTAGAAAAGAGAAGTAATAGCTTTCTCCAGGACCGTGCACCTGCCAATGGGTTTACAATGCTCTTCCTCTGCAGTTAACCCTCATCCTACTCATGGCTTCAATGTGAGAGAAAACAGGGCACTAGAATTCTGAAAGAATGAATCCATCATCTAATACTCAGACTTGGAGGCAGACGTTCTCAGAAAACATGTGCTTGTATCAATGGTTCTGAAGCTTTAAGAATAACTTGAACAGTGAATCATGGACAAATGCCAAGAGCCTGCAGTGTCATGGTTTGGTTTACTGAAAGTGGTACAGATAGAGGTTGTTTAGAGGGGTCATATTAGGGGGTTGTTTCTGTAGTTCATGATAAGGGCAGGAGGAGACAGAATCATACTCCAGTCTGCAGCATGGGAAGGAGCCATGAGACTGTCCCCTGCAGGAACAAGATAGTAACCAGGGGCACGTGCCTCAGGGTAGCAGTATTGGAACCAGAGAGGACCATTGGCGCAGCCCTGAAGCCTGCAGGGGTCTTGTCCCCAGGTTCCACTTTGCCTCCAGAGGACTCTAAGCACGGCCCTCGAGGAGTTGGGATAATATCAGGAATCCAACCTGTTGTATTTTCTACTTCTTCCTGCAGGAGATGGGACAAAAGAGTAAATTAAAAAAATATTCCTTTTCTTGAAACTTTACTCTATCACCCCCAACATACAAGCTAACTGAGAGGCTCCAACCACCTCTACAATGCTGGGCAGCATTAATCTTGCCTTTCTGCTTCCTCAGGCTCCCTTCCCAGCTCAGGGTTCCTATTATTGTCATTTGCTTCCACCATCTTTGTCTTGCCCAATACCACCCCCCCAACCTTGCAAGGTGGTATCTCCTGTGACACGCACATCAATGGTCTTGATCAACACTGTCTGCTGGGACTCCTTGCAGGCTTTCTCAGCTTTCTTAATGTTCTCTGGAGTCCATTCAACATTATTTAGGACCATCAGGTTCTCCATGGGATTCCTACAGGTGGTAGAGTTAGAGCAGGAACATGGCAGTGATGCTGACTTGTCACTCTGACAAAACAGGTTGACAAGCACTCTTCATTTTTGCTAGCATGAGTTCTACACTGGTGTAAACTACACGGAATGCTGTAGAGCTAAGCTGACATTCTTAATGAGTTTGGTAAGAGCAACATATCAGAGAGAACTTACAACATTGAAAAAGAGATTGTTCTTTAAGGATGTGGGTCTTCATGTGAGTGCCACGGGATCTGAAAGGCTGGTGGGCTGGCTTCAGAGAGCCTGCAGCTGCCCTGAAGTTGTATGTGCATCTGTTAATAAAGATTTCTTCTGGCCCCTTAGAGTCTTATTAGAGTGGGCACTTACTTAAAGGTTGGGACATGAGTGTAAACCAGTTCTCCAGTGCAGTCAGAAAGATAGGGATTTGTCCATAAGGGACCTGGCTTTCTTTTGTAAAATTTTTTATTTTTTTCTATTTTTTCAGCAAATTTTAACCTTTAATTTGAAAAGAGTTAGCAACAAAAAGATACCTATTCTTTTTTTTTTCTTCTTCAAATTCATGGTCTCTTTATTCATTATTTATTATTACATTCACATAAATATATATTGCAGAGAAGAACGAGTGATGAGCAAAGGGGTCCAGACCAGGCTGGTGAAACCCACAGAAACAGCTGACCTGAGCAACGGGGAACTCTTGGTCCCCAGACTGAGAGCTGGGATACCAGCATGGGACTGATCCAGACCCCAGGAACATGGGTTTCAGTGAGGAAACCTCGGAAATCTATGGGACCTCCTGTAGTAGTTCAGTACTTATCCCTAGCATAGGTGTGGACTTTGGGTCCAATCCATATACAGGGGTACTCCCTGAGCAAGACACATGGGGGTGGGCCTAGGCCCTATCTCAGAGGATATGATAGACTCTGATGACACCCTATGGAAGGCCTCACCATCCATGGAGAGCAGAAAGTGCATGTGATAGGTAGGGTTTTAGTTGGGGGAGGTGGTAGGGAAGGAGGGGAGGGAGTGGAAACTGGGATTGACATGTAAAACAATTTTTGTTTCTAATTCAAATAAAAAAGATTAAAAAAGAATAAAAATTCTTTAAATAAAAAATTAGCTCCTTCCCCTCCTCCCCTGCCCCCTCCCCAACTAATACCCTACCTATCTCAACCCCTATCTGCTTCCCAGGGAGGGTGAGGCCTTCCATGGGTATCTTCCAAGTCTGTCATATCATTTGGAGAAGGGCCTAGACCCTCCCCAGTGTGTCTAGGCTGAGAGAGTATCCCTCTATGTGGAGTGGGCTCCCAAAGTACATTTGTACACTAGGGATAAATAAACCAGGCCTCCAAACTGACATCAATGTTCAGGGATCTGGAACAGTCCTGTGCTGGTTTCCCAGCTATCAGTCTGGGGTCCATGAGCTCCCCCTTGTTCAGGTCAGCTGTTTCTGTGGTTTTCACCAGCCTGCTCTTGACCCCTTTGCTCATCAGTCCTTCTTCTCTTCAACTGGATTCCAGTTCACTTCAGTGTTTAGCTGTGGGTGTCTGCTTCTACTTCCATCAGCTGCTGGATGAAGGCATGGGTGTCTGCTTCTGTTTCCAACTCTACTGAATGAGTAGGGGGAAGAATAGAGGAGAGCAAGATAAGAGTTACCATAATAGAGGGAGCCATTATAGATTAAAAATAAATCAGGTGCTAGGGAATTGTCTGTAGATCTACAATGATGACACAAACTAACAATCTAAGCAACAGATTAAATGCCTTAAATACCATACCCTGATAATGAGATTGATGACTTATTTATATGCCATCTTACTCTTGACCTCTTTGCTCATCAGTCCTCCCTCTCTGCAAATGGATTCCAGGAGTTCAGTTCAGTGTTTAGCTGTGGGTGTCTGCTTCTGTTTCCAACTCTACTGAATGAGTAGGGGGAAGAATAGAGGAGAGCAAGATAAGAGTTACCATAATAGAGGGAGCCATTATAGGTTTAAAGAGAAATCTGGGACTAGGGAAATGTCCAGAGATCTACAAGGATGACACCAACTAACAATCTAAGCAATAGTGGAGAGGCTACCTTAAATGCCCTTCTCCAATAATGAAATTGATGACTACCTTATAAGCCATCCTAGGGACCTGACTTTTAAGGATCAGTTATCATTTACTTCTCTGCCCTTACTGACACAGAAACTTACAAAACTTATGTGTTCAGAGCTTTTGGACCAACACTGAAAGGAGCAAGGGTGAGGATTGCAGTGGGTGGCTAGACCACCCACTGAGGGCTGCTGGCTCTCCAGCCTAGGAGGAATGAATAAGACTCCTTTTGCTCCCTTCCCAGGTAGTTTTAAGTCCCCTTCCCACACTTGTGAGTTTTAGCCTCTAGAATGACTCACTCTGATGCTTCTTCTCCCAGCTCATTAGTCACATAGATAATGTCAGGGTATCCCAGGCAACTGGAGATGTTAATTCTGGGATAGTAGAAGAAGAAGACGAGACACATCTCATTAATGGTGCTGGCACCTCCCTGGAGAAGGTGAGAGAGAGCCAAGGATTCAAAACCATCAGAGAAGGAAAAGGAAAGCAACAAACTGTAAAGGCTGTCACTCTTCCAGAGAGCCCTCTCTCTTCCCAAACAAAGAGTTCAGTGCGCTGTGCCTTCCCACATCTCTTCCTTTCCTTTCATCTGTTTCCAGTCATTGAACAAGTATTGATATTATTTCTAAACAAATCCACCTATCTCCCTTGTTCTCTACATTTCTACTGTTAAACTTCTTCCCCTCCTCACCTGTTTGAGGCCTTCCCTGCTTTTCTCTTAGTGTCAGTCACCCACCTGCCCGTACTGCAATTTCTTTCTCTACAGCGCCAAATCATTTATATACAATATGACATAATAAATATAATACAATACAATATGTATCTTGTACCCTTTATCTGCCTAGTCAATGAACTCCAGTGGCCTCTTACTGTCTTTTGATGATAATGTACTTGATAACAAATTAGTTGATTGCGTATAACAAATCCCAGCCCCTCTATTCTCCTCTGTTATTGATCTGACCCTGCTGTCTGAGAATGGTATGCAGGACAGCATCATCTGTGTGGAAGACCCCTTCCCAGCCTCAAATCCCTCAACCTCAGTCAGTTACTTCAGGTATCTGTCTCCCCTCAATCCTTAACCTCCACCCACACTCATCATTCTTCACACACACTTCCTGCATCTCTTCGTGATGGATGGGTTTCTCATTTCTGCCCTTCTCCAGAACTCCACATTGCCAGGTGCCTAGAGTGGGACCAACTTATTGATATCACATGACCATTACATCATATTATGCTCCCTGAAATATACCTGAACTTTAATACCCATTTTTCCATTTTGATGTCTTCTACCTTGTTTTACAATGCTATGTATGGTTGTGCTTCCTTCTTGAAAAACATGTAATCCTTTCTGAAGCATAGAATTCGTCCCTATATGAAATTGTTGGGGTTTCTAGTAATCATGGTTACAATAGTTAGCTCTAAGTGAGCATATGCTTTCTTTTACTTACTACAAGAGACATGATCCCATTGTTCTATATGTGCTAACCAATTATCATAATGGTATTCTTTGTTTTTTTTTTTCAAGACTGGGTTACTCTGTAGCCCTGGATGCCCTATCCAGGAACTAACTCTATAGACCAGGCTGGCCTCGAACTCATAGAGATCCACCTGCCTCTGTGTCCAAAGTGCTGGGATTAAAGGCATATGGCACCACTGCCCAGCATATCACAACAATCTTATGAGCTAGTATTAGTATTCTTTCTTTATGAATTTAGAATATAGCCTAGATTTTGAATACTTTGTCTACATTATAAAGCTGCTAAATGGTTAGGCTGACATTAAACCCAGGGCAGTAATGACTCCAAGTTCATTAATGGTGTTGGCACTTTCCTGGAGGAGGTGAGAGACAGAGATGCCATCACACATCCTTTCAGGTACTTGGTGGGTCACTGACAGAAAGTGTAGGCAATCCTTCCCAGTCTTGGATGCATGGAAGTGTAAGAATGTGGAAAGTCTCACACAAAAGAGGAGTGCATAAGCTTAAACAGAGTTATTGGATAGTTTAAGCTAGGGTGCAGCTCTCTTGTAGGACCCACAGTCATTGACACCGTTGTGGAGAAAGATAACTTACAAAAGTCATGGAGTCACGATCCAGCGTCTGGTAGTTACATTCTATCAGCAACTCATCCCCCTATTCACAGTGAAACATGAAAGCTGAGAGTAAGTCAAAGAGGAATTGGTATAGTCTTATAATTTTCTGGACTAACCATGAAATATAATCCTGCTCTCCCCCTTGCTCCAGCCATTGCTCCCTCTCAGGTTCCCACCGGTTTGATCACTGCAGGATGAGGTAAGTCTCGTGTCTCTTGCAGATTGAAGTCATAAGAATAATCTTTACATATTATTTGGACTTGGGTTCCATTTCTAGAGGTAGAGGAGAGCAGAAAGACAGAAATGAGAAGATGAAGCAGGCAGGGCCTGACCAATAAAGATGCAGTATGTGGGTTCATTCTGTGAATACAAATAGCCCATGAAATGAACATAAAAGATTCTCCTTCCACAGCCTATTCTGCTCACCTCTAGTTTAGTTCCCCATTCTCAACCAGATACAACACCATGCAGAATCTGTAGCTATTCTCATATACATAAGGGGAACATTTTAGTTGTTCTGTTACCTGTATTGCACAGCTTGCTGGGAGCGGCCAGCTAAGTGGGTGTGGATCAAGTAGCTATACACATATATGTCAGGTACTGGGGCCCCATTCATCTGTAACAAGGAGAAGGCACACCTGATTGGTCAAGAACTCTGACCTCCAGTTTTATTTTTCTTCTCTTGACACTTGATACCATTTTTTCTTGGACTGATTGGAAATGGCTCTCTTAATTTTTTGTCTTTAAATTTTATTGAGTTTATTTTTTGACTGCTTCATGTCTGAAGTCTATTCTGATAACTATATTCCCCACTCTAATGTCTTTGCTAACCTTATTACCCTTACCCACTGTCTTCCCTACAAGCACCCCTCTCATATTCACAATTTTATTATTTTGGATTTTTTTGTGGGGTACTCATTGAGTTTAACCAGGATCACCTGTGCGACCATGAGTTTGGAACTATTTATTGGATATGGCTGGGATCTTCAGTGAATACACAATGACTGACTGTCTTTCTTCCCTGACCCATCAGTAGTCAATAATTTAGCAGGGAAAGGTAGGGTCCACCCCATAAGCCCTGATCCATGACTGACAGTTCATCGAACTCATCTTGAGTTGGCTCTTGCTGGCAGCCACTGCTGCTCTGAATCCATGACTGCATTGGTTCTGCCATGCCCAGAAACAGCATTTCCAGCCCCTTTCCCTGACACTATGCTCTGCCCACCCTTTTCCAGATGTTCCCCCTCACCCTGATATTTCCATTGAGCCGTCCTGTCCTTATTGCCCCTAAAGCCCTGACTCGTTCCTTTCTTGCATAGTTTGTGCTTGTCACTTTTCTGAGCGCCAGGCTTCAACCATTCTTTCAACCTGTGGCTCAGGATTGGGAGTTTAGGGATTAGACCAGAACTCTGCTGGAGAGCAAGGAACCTCAAAAGCGGCACATCTCCCAGCTTCACCTCTTCAAACTTCTCTGTCTTGCATAGCCCATAGGACAGGAAAGCCTCAGCACCCGGGGGTATAAAGTGAATAGGGAAAACTGAGATGCCCAGCTGGAGGACTCCCATGTCATATTTGCGAAGGTGTGAGGTGTAGTACAGCCGCATCCCTGAGGTATCATGTATACCTAGAGTAGAAAGAAATACTCTACTCAGCGGGTGGAAGTGGATCACAGTGTTCGGGAAAGCTGGAACGCACTGTAGCCAAAAGGCTCCAGCATGTGTGCCTCATGTTCCCTGTATCCAGAAGAACCAGTCAACTCCACCAGCTGCCCTCTCTTAAGCCCCTTGGATACTCACCAGGAAGGTTTTGAAAATTGCTGTAGTGAACCTCCAGTCGAATCCACTGAGGGTCCAAGGGGGTTCCAATGGAGATGCCTACATCATCTGGAAACTGGTAACTCTGTGGAAAGAGGAACACAGGAGTGATGGAGAAAGGCTATACACAAGATGCTTGCGGCTCTCCCTGGTTTTCTAACCTTTCTTTCAGAACTTCTATGCCCCCAGGTCTTCCATCAGCCCATTGCCCAACAGCATGCACCCCTTTGTCACAAAATGCCACCATCTCAGGACTCACAAGGCCCCCAACAGCCCAGCCTGCGATGACGTGGGAGCAGAGGGAGAAGGCAGGGTCCGACCCATAGCATTCACCAATGCCTGTGGGAAGCACGCTGGCATTGCCGCATGCGTACACGAGGATGTGATGCACCATTGTCTCATTGCGTTCCACTAGCAAGGGTTCAAACTGGACAGAGAAGAGAGGGTAGACAATAGCCTAGGTTTTCTATCAAATTCTTATTCTCTCCGTTCCTCCTCCGGCCCCCAAAAGCTATGCCATTGTCATTCTTCACTTCTCCGAGTTTCTCCTTCTTATCTGTTTCTCTCCCCCAAACCTATCATCTTCCCTAAACTCTGTTAGACTCTTTTCTCAACCCCCATATCTTTCCATCCATTTCTTGGGAGCCCAGCTCACAGTGGGAATTCACCAGTGGCATACCAAGGGTTCTTACTTTCTTTAGTGACCTCAATCCATTCACAGTTTGCTTATATGTATATATCCACATCGTTTTGAAATCCATTTATTTTAAAATGGCCCCTATACCTTGGAACTTATAAAATTATATTTTTGTACTTGACCTAAATTAAAAACACTCAAGTGCAAATTATATTACCAAGTTTGAGTTCACTCTGGCTTGAATTTCCCTACTTTCTGACTATGCTTGGCCATATCCCTTCCTTACTTTGACCACCCCATGGCTAAAAGACAACAATTCTGGGTCATGATGGAACTTGAAGTTGTTCTTTTCAAACACTTATTAATTACTGTCCTCAGTCAGAATCTCCTCCACTTGAGTAATCTAGTGTTGGCAGACATAGTTTTGGCCCCAGAAAATTATGTGGCTTCCCACCCTACGAAACTCCACCCAGCCCTACCCCACATCTCCTTCCCTGTCATCTCCTCACAGCAACCTTTGGAATCTCTAGACTCCAACATGCCCATCACTTTGCACCAGTGCCTTGGCAGACTTCATCATTTGGTTCACGTACCTTGTAGATGTGATGCTTCTTGCTGACGATAGGGAGCGGGAGGAAGGTGCAGGCGTATGTGGTGTCATCCTCTGGAATGAGGAACTGGGTAAAGGTGCACAAAAGCTGAGTGGAATGGGAGTGAGGATTCCCCCAGAAGCAGAGGAGTAGACAGGCTGGGAGCAGGGTTCATTTTAGGGCTAGATTGGTACCCTCCACAGAGCCAAAGGAACTCATATTAACTTCCTCTAAAGAATGGGTGGGTTTCGAGTGTAAGGTGAGGGACCTGGAATTAGCAGGGAGATGGAAACAGGTGGAGGCAGACTGACCGTGTGGTGGGGGTCTTACATTACTGATTGCCAAGTCATGGATGATGGTGTCTTCAGGGGCATCTTGATCATCATATTGTAGCATTTGTAGCAAGAAGATTGACTTGACAAAAGTACGCTCCGGATTCATCTTGGGTATGTCATCCAGACCATAGGCAGCCAGGACCCTCATGGTGTCACTCTACGGGTATCATGAGCAGTGAGGGCTTGATTCTCAAAAGCACCTTGTGTATGTCTATATCCAGGGCTCTACCTGTGCCACTTATCTACATGGTGGAGTGAGAATAACTTGAGACAAGGTTAGTTTGGCTTTAGTTCCACCTCTGAGTAACTCATTTGTCACGCTTAACCCCTTTCCAGTCTTCCCTTTTGGCTATTTTACACCTGAAGAACAAGAGGATTGAGCCAGACTTGAAATTCAAATACTGATGTTCAAAGGAATTGGTTAGAGTCCTTTAAGAGGGGGATAATAGAAAGGGCATTTAGCCATTGGGTAGGACCATGCCAATTAATGATTGGAGTTTTCAAGAGGTGATGCCATTGGTTAGTACCCATGAAGAGTAAAGGGATAGTTCCATAAATTTATGACTGGCTGCATGAATTGAGATGATTGCGATGACTATACTTTCTTTGGAGAAGCTGGTTGTGGCTATCTATTATTCCCCTTTCCCACATATTACCGTAATGTCTCGGTCATGAGGGTCACATGATCGGAAGGGCCTGGAAAAGCGCATGGTGGTAGAGACAGAATCTTCTGTGAGCTTTAGTAGTTCAGCATCCTGGCTCCCATCCGGTTCTAGAGAGTCTTCATCCAGAAGGTGCTGATCCTGGAGTCCAGTGATCATTAAGAAGCAAGAACCAGAATCCCAAACAATTAGGTTTGGGACAGCTAAAATGCTAAAATGGCAGACACCAGCTACCTCCATTGTACAAATGGGTGTGATTTTTGGAGTGGACAGAGCATGTCTGATGGAGTTTCATCACCTGGCTTTACTATTCTCACTTCAAATATTAGCTTCATAAGTTCTAACAATCCCTCATTGAGGCCTATAGAGGCTAACTTGTTCTCTGAATGATCTGTACCATTCATCCTTTCTCGTGGGGCTCTGACTGCATTTTATTGTACTGTGATAGCACTACCATGTATAAGGGCAGTTAAGAACAGTGATTGTGAGCTTAGAATGTCTGAGTTTTGGGAGACAAATGAGCTATTACTTCATTTGTAAAAGGCAGATTTTAGCAGCAGTTCTCAACCCGTGGGCTGTGGCCCAACTGAGCATTGAATGACCCTTTCATAGGGATTACATATCAGATAATCCTGCATATCAGATATTTACATTAAAATTTCCAATAGTAGCAAATACAGCTATGAAGTAGCAACAAAAATAATTTTATGGTTGGGGGTCACCTCAGCATAAGGAACTGTATTAAAGGTCAGCAGCTTTAGCAAAGTTGAGAACCACTAGATTATAGTAATCTACCTCAGAGAATCTATGGGATTTTAAATGAAGAGAATTTGGAGCAATACTGATATTGCTTCTCTTGCTGCCATTGCTATTATTAGACAATTCCATACTGAGTTCTGCCTGAGTGCGTCTAAAGGATATTGGCTACAGAGTATCTCTAATAGCTTTGAATTTTCTCCACTGACCTGAGTTTACCTCGCTTCTAGCAAGTAAGTGGTAATTAGACTTTTATAGTATTAAACTTCCTCTTTCTTAAAAGTCTTAACAGACAACCGGCCTAAATGACATAAATTACAATGCTAGAGCATCTTTGTAGGGAGAGAGAAACAGTCAATTAGATTTCAGTGTGCTTGGCTGAGTTTGGAGAATGAAATTCTTTTCTGGACACAGCCTTCCTCAACCCAGAGGAGGAACTCATCTTTGGGGTGGAAGCTGGAGACTACAGACATAAAGTCATCCTCCAGCCAATACAAGAACTTATCATCAGAATTCAATCATCCCTAGACTTACCGAAAAGTAGACATTGCCATCAGGAAGGACTCCTCCAACTACTAGGTCACTTCCCACAAAGGTGTAGCGATTTGTAATGCCCAGGCCAACCCAGCCAGTTGTTTGGACTTGGAGCTCAAATGTGATGATTTCAGCCTCATAATCAAAATCCCAGCGCAGAAAAACAGCATGGGAAGGATCTAGGAACCTGGAATAACGGAGGAGAGATGTAGGGCCCAGGCGCTTGCCTTGGGAAAAGACTGCCAGGACTGAAAGTAAAATCAGTCTGCAGAGCAGAACACAGGCCATGGCTCCCAGAGTCCGGAACATCTTTCTTGCAGATGGACATTGAAGATCTCTGGACTTATATACATCTCTACTTGTGCCAGGCACGGTGCCATGGAGGAAGGAAAGGCCAGGCCTCTTCTGATCTGATTATCTACCGTGTACAGAGTGGTGTCACTTACATAACCTGAGTCAGAAGGATCCAGGGAGGACACAGAGTGGGATTGTCTCACCTTAAGTCAGAGACCTAATGCAAAATTATCAAGAGAGTCATTCGGTCTTCCATTCCAGCTCCATGGCAGGTTCATGCCTAGTGAGAACTGTAGAGTCCAGGAGATTCTCAGCCAGCTTCCCCCATTCCTTCACGTCTACTCCACTAATAACCATAGTGAATAATATTCTTCAGGATTACACCCTCCCCTACTCCAGTTTTATGCCCTTTGCCCATCGTGTCCATGTGTAGAATGGGAGAAGCAGAGGGTAAGCATATCCTTTTGGCTTTCTGGGACAGTGAAGGAGGGAAGTCTTTGAGTGGGAGAAAGCTATGCTTTCAGTTTGTTGCAGGGACCTGCACTGCTAATCCTAGGAAGAACATTTAGAGGTGAAAGACTTCTACGTGGACAAGTCTGGGGCAGCTTTGATTTCAGCAATTTATACAGAGGAGCAAGAAGGGAGGGAAAGAAGAGGAAGAAAATGAGAAACGGATATGAATTTGTCTGTAGGACATGTTGTACTTCACCTTTCTGTACCACAAACATGAGTTGCTTTTCAAAGAACTCACAGTGCAGGTACTCTCCCCCCCAGACTTAGCTGAGTGCCTTGGTGTTATAGAAACCACATAAAGGTTAAAGGGAATATTTGAATAATAGAGCAGAGTGAAACTCCAGGTCTTCTTAATTGCATAACAATTCCAGTCCATTTAATTTTTAGATAAGTCAGTGGGAGTATAAAGCGGTAGCAACAGCAGAGTGTGGCCACACACCCTGTCCATGGCGGAGGTGAATGGAGAGACCACAGGGGATCCTTCCTCTTTGTCACACTTTCCATGATTTTCTCAGTAGACTCCTGAGTGTTTTGCTGTGATCCTGTGTCATAGTGGAAGGAGTAATTGTCATTTGCTGATTGCTTCTCAGGGAAGAACAGACATCTGTACTTTATAAGACTTACTGTCTCCTCGTGTCTGACGTAGCTGACTTGGGGAGACAAATCTTTTCATGAGACCCTCATTGCCTGATCTTCACTAGAAAACACAGAAGACATACACCCTTAGGACTCCCCGCAAAATGTGTTGCACCACACATCTACACAGAGAAGTCCAGTCCAAAGAAGGGTGAGAAGATGTTCTCCGAGCTGGATATATCTTTATTATGTGCATGTAAAGTCTCTGAATTGCCTATTGAGCTAAAAACTGCTAAACCTGTTGACTATTGTGTGCACTTGAGTAGCGGCTATGATGTAGTTGGTGATGGTGGTGGAGAAAAGTCCCTAGGAGGTAGCCAGGACTTCCAACACTGGTTCGGCAGAGGCCAGGAGGCACTAGCTAGCCATCTGATCTGGAAGCAAGAGGCTTAACCTGGCTCAGTACTGCAAGCTGGGCAAGATAAGGGAGGACAAGGCAGAGCCCTGGAGGGACTGACCTTGGGAGGCAGGAAGGTTAGCCAGGGAGATAACAGGAGTGTAGGAGACACTCTGATTCCAATCTCTGAGGATTAGGCTGAAGAGGGGTCCGTGGGGAACCACCATGACATACAGCTCAGTAAACTGAGAAGGACGCAGGGTCTCTTATCCTGCAGTCTGCTTGGCTGGCCGTAGGAAAGAAACAGGGCTCTCTGGGAAGAGCTAGGAGCCAGTGACTTCAGACCCAAGGGATCTCTTCTCCACCCTCTTCTTCCTGGCTCTTATGGCTCTTAGGGAGCTTATTCAGCTTTAAATAAGGAGATTTATAGAGGCTTGAAGAACTCATTCTTTCTGAAGTAAATGCTCCAGAAAAATGAAGGGTGAGAGTGTTATTGAACTTGGGGGTCAAAGCTGAGTGATACAAGAAATAGGAGGACATTGAGACGATTTTTGATATGGATATGAGGGAGGACATAGCCAGAAGCAGAGACATCTGGGAGAGTCCAGAGTGAACATGACCACTGAGCCAAGCCAAGTGCGGAGAGGGGAAAGGGTGGACAAAAGGGGAAAGTCCAGGTGGGGAAATGACTGGATTATACAGGGAAGGGTAGCTGGGTAAGGGCAGCCCAGCCCCTGGCCTAGAGAAGGTTGGGGTAGGGGAGTGTGAAATGCCACTCATACCCAGTAACGGAGAGGGACTACGGGATGCTGGGAGAACCTGGAGGCCAGGTCTGTGTGTGTTAAATAGGCACCCCAGTTAGCCATTTGCGCTGGGTTTGAGATCTAACAAGCCAGTATGCCAGGTTGGCTGTGTCCACCTGTCCTTAAAGTTAAAAGAGCCAAATCAATGAAAAGTAGAAAAAGGTTTATTTAGTATGGACATCACATTGGAGAAAAGGGAAAAAGATACCCAGTGAACCCTTGAAGTCCTTAAGTTTAGGAAGCCAAGGATAAGCAGTCTAGGTCAAACTATGGTCCTGCCCACCATTGACCCAACATTCCTCAGGCTTGTCAGAGCTGTGTGAAATCTCTTTCCAGGAGACAAGTTCCCACTCTATCTGGTGTCTTTTCCTTCTCCCAGAATGTGTCTCCTGGGGAAATTCCCATTTCTTTGGGGTCCTTTGTTTCAATAACCTGAGAGATTGAAAGGCACAAGTGTCTCTTTAGAATATCTTTATTTCTGCCAGATCAGTTACAAAAAGGGGGATCGTTTCCTTTACTCTGGACAAAGCTCCTATTTTTATTTTGTGTTTGCATTCCTGGAGTCAGGCAGATAAATTGGAGGTGCGTGTCCACTGTCATATTGCCTAATATAACCCTTCAATAGCCTCCACCTGTAGTTGAAGACAGTTTAGTCCCCCGAGAGAGCTGAGACTCAAATTCAAGGCACTTCCAGGAATCACTACTGAGAGGGTTCAGGGCCTAGTCACTCACTGAGTTACTTAGTGAGTGTGTGGTGTGTGGGAGTGAAAAGGATGAAAGGGTGAAAAGGGTGCAGACTTTAGCTTGTGGTTTGCACTTTAAAGATGAGTTATGACAGTGGGTTTCCTGAGCATATCACACCCTTGGAGCTTCAGGCCCAGGACTTCAGCTTCTGGTTGCCACCATACTGGTTTGGACCCTCTTTTCTTGCCTGATTGCCCTGCTGGAGAGAGCCTGAGAGGTCGGGGATGTGGAGGTTTTCTATTCTGTGCCTCTGTGGACTCACCACTTCTGTGACTACAGGTCAGATGGCAACTGAGGATGTCTGAGGGTGGAGGGAGAGAATGAGATGCAGGCCACTTTAGCTAAGAAAGCAGAGAAGCTGTCCCTAACTCCTTTAAGACAGTCATCTTGCACAGCCTCTCTCCGTGGTCAAGGCTTCTGGTCTCAGCAGCCTCGTGTCTGTGTAACTCCTGGATTTTCCTCAGGATTTAGCTCAGTTGGCTACACGTGAGGTTTTTCTAGTCTGCCTACGTTCATCTTGGCCTGTCTGTGTTTCAGACTCCACGGTAACTTTGCTGGAACAGAAGCCTAGGTGGGGTCTGGTACTACGTGGTCAAGCTGTGACCCTGAGCTGTATCTTGAAGGATTCCCAGTACCCCTGGATGAGCTGGTACCAGCAGGATCCTCAACAGCAGCTACAGTGGCTGGTCACTCTGCGGAGTTCTGGGGACAAAGAGGTCAAATCTCTCCCCGGTGCTGACTACCTGGCCACACGAGTCACGGATACAGAGCTGAGGCTCCAGGTGGCCAACGTGACCCAAGGCAGAACCTTGTACTGCACCTGCAGTGCAGACACAGTGGTAAGCTCTGCTGGAGCATTGGAACAAAAACCACACACACAGACGGCATTGTCTTCCAGTCTTCCAGGGCTCTTGTGCAAGCCCTGCTGAATCTTCTTCCTTTCTAGCCGGACTTCCCCACTCCGTGGCCCTAGGAAGAGGTGGGCTCTTCCTGGTTTACCACTTGTTGTTTTTCTGCCTGAGCCACACAGTAACTTAACCTCAGGTTTTGGGGAGCTCAGAGCACAGACTTTGCGTCTTCCACTTGTGAGCTTGGAAGATGTCTCTCATCTTTTCTCTCCTATACTTCTGTTTCGGATTCTGGTGGACACAGGCAGCCACTGTGGCCATCCTAGAAGGCAGCTGTGGAAGCCGAGCCCCCAGCCCACGTGGGCTCTTCCTTCAATAAGGAGCGATGCGGAGCAGCAACACGGAAGCATTCATTAGGCATTAGCGCTTCTTTCCCCAGCGTGCACAGTGAAAGGCAGGCCCAGTGTGATGCCAGTGTCCGTTCCCAATGGCGAGTTGGATTAAAACCCAGAGAAATTTCAAGAGCTCAGGTCAAAGTGGGCTGAATTGAAGCAAGGGCGGCTCCGACTACACCAGTGGTTCTGAACCCACGGATGGCTGCCCCTCTGGAATCTAACAATTCTTTCACAGGGTCCCCTAAGACCATTTGAAAATACAGATTTTTTTACACTATGATTCATAACAGTAGCAAAAATATAGTTATAAAGTAGCAATGGAAATAATTTTATGCTTGGGGTCACCACAACGCAAGGCACTGCACTAGGAAGGTTGAGAGCCTCTGGACCACACCCTTGAAACAAATACCCTTGTTTCTATGATGCCCACTCTGACCTTCCAAACCCAATCTCAACATGTTCTTTGGATCCCTTTATTAGACTAATTTATTTTGTACTAATTATGCTATTTTAAGTAAAATATTGTTTCACCTGCCATTTAACATAGCAAATAATTACAAAAGAAAATTAAAATCTCCTTCCAGTGTCAGACTTTCCAGCTGGAAGCTACTAAATCCAGAATTTTTCCTTGCCAATTATGAGTTTAGTCAAAACAATTACAAAAGAACTGATGAAGACTCTGCCTAAAGAAAATATTTAAAAAAGCAAATCACGTTGAGCCAATCAAATAGCTTAGTTGGCAAAGCATCTGACTTGTAAGCATGAAACCCTGAGGACATGGATTCAATATCCAAAATCCACACTCAGGCTCACACACCCACACGCACACACACAGAAAGGAGGGGCAGAGAGACAGAGACATACTGATCACTAATTGCCCTAAATCAGAGATGTCTTCACTACTGAGCTAATTTGAACTCATCCTGTAGAAAATAAGCCCCTCAGAAAAATATAAGGGTCTAGAGTTTAGGGTTCAGTAAATGTTGGACTAGAAAGCCCAAGTCTGAACTGGATTTACAACCCAAGCACAGTTACCTACAGAGTAAGAAGCAGATCAAGCCGCTCAGCTCAGAATCACAGAGCCAGGCCCGCTGGCTGGCGGCGGCGGAAGGGAGGAGAGAGGATCGGGGAGGAGATGCCAGAGGAAGAAAGGAAGGGAAGGGGAGGAGAAGGGGGGGGCAATGAGAGAGGGAAGACCAAGACGGAGCTAACATGAAGCCTAGGATCCTGAGCCAGATCTGAGGTAACGCTATGACAGTGAGGAACCACCTAGAAAAATTACTGCTTCCTTCATTGGTAGATCAGGTACTTGGGGGGGGGGGGGGTTTTTCCCTTGCTCTTGGGGGCTGGAGG